TTCAACTTTTTAAACAGAGGGCCAGGTCACAGTCTCTCAAACTGTTGGGGGGGGTGGATTATAATTTGAAAAAAAAACCATGAATGAATTCCTATGCACACTGCACATATCTTATTTGTAGTGCAAAAAGCACTTAAAACGATACAATAAATAAAATGAAGAACGATTTCAACAAATATAAAATTATTAGTATTTCAATGGGAAGTGTGGGCCTGCTTTTGGCTGATGAGATAGGATTGTTGTCATTGTTGTGTGTTTTCAAGTCGCTTCAGACTTAGGTTGACACTGAGCAAGGGCCGGGTAAATGACCTTGGAGGGCCGCATCCGGCCCCCAGGCCTTAGTTTGAGGACCTCCGCTGTAGAGAGTGGATGGAGGGCAGAGGAGCTGTAATAGAGAGTGTGTTTTATTGCGTATATAGCTGTGTGTATATATCTTCTTAAGTAACTGAATATAAAAACCTTCCTGCATTTTAGCAGTGAAAGAATATCTGTGTATGGACTCTTTTCTCCATCTTTTAGTGAGATCATGACCCTGTAAATAAAAATAAAATATTGCAGCTACACCATAATAACAACAACAACAACTTTATTTTTATACCCTGCCTCCATCTCCCTGAAGGGACTCGGGGCAGCTTACAAAAGGACATGCTCAACAAATCAGGTTAAAATAAGCATAAAAAACAAGCAATATCAAACATCAATAAACATAAAATCAGACATTATAAAAATGATTAAAAATTAGCATGGCTGAGTAAATAAAGTGCTTGGTTCTGTTCATAATTACTAAGTGCAATGAATCCTAAGAAGAGTCAGGGAAAGTGAAAAAATCGGAGGGTTGCGCTAGGAAGCAAATGTCCTTATAACGTATTATTTCTGATTGGAATATTTCTGATTGGAAAGTTAACTTTCCAATCAGAATGTGATAGATTTTAGTTACTTTTTGTTATTGGGGACAGGAGTTTGATTGCATATAATTGATTATTTATTGGTAGTCACTTTCAAACTTTGGTCAAGAATTAGAAGAGAGGAAAAGCTTTAGTAGCGTTTGTCTAGACATTATTTCTGTCTCCAGACTTGGATGTACTTAACAAAGCAAGACTTTCTCTGTTTAATGGCACTTACATCTGGGTAAGTATAACATATTGGGCCTACCTTTAAGGACTGGTGTGTTTCTAGGCCTTAGAAGGAAAGGCCTTGTCTAAGCCAGAAGGGAGGAGGGAGCACACACTCCTTATATAGTAGTGGTGCCAGATTAGTGGAGAGATTAGAGAGATTTGCACAGCAACCGAAGCCAGTAATATGAGTGAGTTAGAGAGAAGTCTGGTGTAGAGAAAGGAAGTGCTATTAGGCAAGAGAAAGAAATCTCAGTGAGAGGGGATTTTAAAAGGTAGAAGCAGCCTTCGGGGAGAAGTGCTGAGTTTTAAAAGTAGCCTCTAAGAGATATAGTGCTAGTGTTTTGTGATCCTCTAATAGGGAGAACTGAGAGATCCGAAATGCCCTATGAGTGAATATTGTTTCGTGAAGGAACCATTTACTTTAAAGAAATGATTTGACAACCTGCTGTAACCAATACACATTTGTACCTTTCATTACATCTGAGAAGCCTTGTTATTCCAGTTCAAATAAACTTAATGATTCTATTTTATTTACTCCAGTCGGTGTGTCTTTCTGTGCATGGATATAATAAGGGGGCCTGATTGAACCACAGCCAACTCTCTTTATATCGAAGCTTTCCCTCCAATTTTGGGTGGGTCTGATCCTAACTCCGGAGGTCAGTCAGACTGACTGGTGTAAATTGGTGGCAGCGATACAGTCAGAGGTTGAAGCATCCATTGTAGTAATCATACTTAGAACTGCAGTTTGATACACCTCTTGTGTGTTAGATTTTAAATCATCAATAAATTTATACATAACCAAGCATCTGTCTCATCAGGTCATCCACATGCTTTGATTGGGAACGGGATTCATTACTATTATTTGTGAGGTTTCATATTCATTCTGATATAATTTGACCTCTATAAGAAGGGCTTTAATTTAAACCCATATATCTCTGCAAGTTATTTTTTCTTTGCTTCAACATGCAAAAACTAAGGATGCCTAGGCTATTATTATTGTTGTCTTCATGTTTTAATATAGCACTATCAATGTATATGGCATGTTACAAAGCACCTGATATTTATATTTTAAAAGTGCAGTATTGCTTTGCTATGCAAAAATATGCTTCAAGGGGAAAATATAACCTCATTTTAAAAATTAAAATAAGAACTGTTAGCAAACATTTTAAAAACCTTCTTGTAAAAGAAGCTTAATAACATGGTAATGTTTATGTAAAGTGGGCTTATAGTGTCACACTTGAATCTAATAAAGTGGACATCCATCATGTTGTAATAAAGAGAAGAGCTTCTAATTAAAGTAGGACATCATTTGCAGGATTAAAGTCATTTAGCGTAATTGAAAAGTGTTAATACCCTATTTTATCCTCTTCCATTGGTATTACTTCAAGGGTAAAACATTTTAAGGTGAAAATGTGTCTTGTGTCTTTAATTGAATGTTATTACCTACTGATTGTAACATGTTGAAGCTGTTTAATTACAAACCTGCAAAATTAATTACAGTATTGAGACTCAGATCCCAGAGGGCTAGAATGTTCTCTCTTTTTTGGCAAATAAATGTAACATAAAAATTGATATCTCGGTTGTTTATAATCAAATGCTGAAACATAGTTCAATGTGATTCATTATATCCACATGTTTTTCTTAATTGAGCTGCAGTGAAGCAACAGAGGTTAACTAGGTTAATGTTTCATCCTAACACAAAGAATTCCAAGGCTTTGTAGTGAAACGCCAACCTATTAAATATTTTTAAAGTCCAGTCACTATGTTTTATCATCAAAATTGAGAGCATGATACTTTAGCCTTCTTTGATTTGGTGTGCCAAGTACCTTAATGTTGTTGGCTTTTTTTCTTAGAGTGTCTAGTTGTCATTTCAATTGGCCAAGATGCCTTTCCTTCCTCATCAAGAAACACTCCTTCCCTTTGTAATGGTTGTATGGGCAGTGCTGAGTTCAGCTGCTTAGTGTTAGTACAATACTGAACAGCCACTATTAACTATAAGACATCTTTCTCTCTGGACCTGTTCCTCCATGCTGTTTAGTACAGCCATCTGGAAAGGAGGAGAGGAGTTCCCCCTGGATTTTTCCTAGTGCCAGTTTATACATCAGCAGCTGGTCCTTTGTATTTAATAGTGTCAAACTTACTGTCAGACTTTACAGAACTGCACTAACCTGATGCCAGAAAATGTGTACACATCCTTGGTCCCATTCTCATGTAGGCAACATTTTAGCATAAGGCAAGCAAATAGGTTCAAGCTGAGGGTAGTTAACCAGCAACAATCTAGTATGTGTCTAGAGTAATCATATTTACTATACGCTTTATTTAAAATACCAGTGATATGTCTGCCAATCATGTGCTACAGTTCAACCCTTATAAGTCACAAGTTAGCTATATACTGTATTTAAACTTTCAATAGTATTGTCTGCTGATGAAATGTTGCAGGTTCAATCCTTAATCTCACTACACTTTCAGAAACTCACTTTTCACAGCATATAAAATTTGCTGGGGAACAATATCCTGAAAATCTTGTTTGCTAAGTTATAAGGTTAATTATTTAAATTTGTAATTCAAAAATAAGAGCTCAATACAATGTAATTGGACGCCTGCCCTTACAGTCTCCTACGCAGAGTCATCATTATTTCTTATGAAACCTAGTTTTTGTATGTACTCTCCAAATTTCAGTCACTGTTACAAACTCTAAAGTTTTCAGTACTGCATTCCAGATGGTCTCTTTGGACTTCATTCTATGAACTGTTCAAGTGTTTGGAAGAGTAGGATTTCCATAAAGCTTTGGCATACTCCATTTTGAAATTAAATAGAAGATATTCCTACCTCCACACCTAATTCTTCTCTCCGCTTTCTTTAAGATTTATCTGTTTGATTTGCCACCACACAGTTAAGACTTGTTTCCTACACTGTTCCTCCCCCATTTTTAACTTCTCTTTTTGTATCTTGGGAGTTCAACTTACAGCCTAAAAAATAACAACATCTAAGAGGGGTTATTCTTGCGTTCTTACAGGAGGGAGGAAGAAATGAAGTTCTCTTGAATCTCTCTCTGCTATCTTTTTGATAGGCAAAAGCAGAATAGCAGGAGTTTCAGGCAAGAGTTCAAAAGGTCTTTTAAGACCTGAAACAGGAAGAGGGAGCTGAAAGGGGTTGCTTGCTAAGAAGATTCCAGAGACATGAATCACAGGATTTGTATGCTTGCTATTTTTTCCTGAATGTTTTGAATATCTTGTTTGCTATACTTCCTCAGTCTCAATATGGTAATGGCAGCAGAAAGGAATCAATTCTGCCCATCTTAGCTTCTCCCTCCATGACGACATCATTTTATTTACTAACAGGCAAGAGGGGATTCCCATCACATGTTGAATTGGATGTTTTTACATGTCTCTACGTGGGGAATTGAAGAATAAGTCGCTTGCCAATAGACTCGGGAATCATGTGAAAAATCTACACTTTAAAAGTGGCACAATACCCCTGCCCTAGAATCATACAGTTGGAAGAGACCTCGTGGGCCATCCAATCCAACCCCCTGCCAAGAACAGGACAATCATGTTCAAAGCACCCCCATTCAGATTTGAAGCTTGTGTCGAGTGAAGGCACCATTGCTGGCAGTTGCTTAAGTGTGTAGAAATGTTTCTTTAATCGTATGTGATGAAATTTCTACATAAGGATGAGGAAAATCTTATTCAATAAAACTATGCTGCATTTCCAGATGTATTACACTTAATTTACATTAAAAATGGCTCTTTACAGACCCACCAATAACTTTTCTCATAGCAAGTACCTTATTATTTCCTCATTTGGCTTGTGATGACTATTACTGTACTTTTCTCTTGACCCATAAGTGTTGCACTGATACGAACTATATTCTCTTTGCAGAATCTTCTCTTTCCAAACCAGCCTCTTCAGCCTAACAGTAGATATTCTGTATCACCCACCGGGGATCTCACTATTACCAATATCCAGCGATCTGATGCAGGCTACTACATCTGCCAGGCACTCACTGTTGCTGGAAGCATTTTAGCAAAGGCACAATTGGAAGTTACAGATGGTAAGAAATAGAACTTTTGTTGTACTATTTTTGTAATTGTTTGGGGGTATAGTGGATAGCCATCTATGTGGTAGGCATTTCTGGTGGAGAAATATCTTTGACCCTCCTGATCTGAAAATTAAACTATTTTTTAAGACAGTGTAAATAGTTTAAGACAGTGTAAATGGTCCATACATCAGGAAATAAAGCCGTACTGTTCATTGGAGGGAGGATAGTTGAGGCAAAGATGAAGTACTCTGGCCACATCATGAGAAGAAAGGAAAGCTTAGAGAAGGCAATTATGCTGGGGAAAATAGAAGGAAAAAGGAAGAGGGTCTGACCAAGGGCAAGATGGATGGATGGCATCCTTGAAGTGACTGGATTGACCTTGAAGGAGCTGGGGGTGGTGTCAGCTGACAGGGAGCTCTGACGTGGGCTGGTCCATGAGGTCACAAAAAGTCGGAAATGACTGAACAAATGAACAACAACAACAAATAGTTTATTTTGTTTTTTGAAATTACAGATATTTTATACAACATTATTTGTTTTAAAATGGTCATTGGCTAGAAAGAATGGCACTTACTAGGAGCAGAGAAGAGGGCATGGGTACACAGTTATAGAAAATATATGATTTCAGGAACAGTTGGGGCAGGCCCGTAGCCAGGATTTCATTTCGGGGGGGGGGGGCTGAATCTTTTTCAGGGGGGTTCGGGGGGGGCTGAGTTTCGGGGGGGCTGAGTCTGAGTGAAAGAGGGTCTAGCCTAGCAAACCTTTTGTATCATTACCCCAATACCCTCATGCATATGGGATATATTGAGTATGATTATCAGATCATGATATGAATAAACATAACAGTTTAAATAATGCACCAGTAAGGCCTTTTCGCGAACCACCATGAGAATTTGGGGGGGGGGGCTGAAGCCCTCCGAGCCCCCCCCCCCAGCTACATGCCTGAGTTGGGGCAGTGAGGAGATCAAGGTATCAACCTGGGAAGCACACACAGTGTAACCTGTGTTTTCTTCCAGGAAAGAAGCAGCTGGCTGTTTATTAGCAAAGATGAAGTAGGAATAAGTCCACTTCTGTCACAGAGGCCAAATTCAGCAATTAATGGCATATCCCCCCCCCCCTTTGATCCTCCAAATCTTATATCCTATCATGCAGCCTGCTCCACAAGTTGGCACCAATAGAGCCCAGAGGAGCAACCAAGTGTTGCGGCAGACCCACCCCACTAATTACACCAGCTAGCTCCACTATTCCTGAGTGGTCTGTGACCTTGAGGGGAACCCCGGGACCCTTAAATTAAACTTTTTTTACCTGTTTCTGCCCATTGCCTTTGCAAAGATCACAATGCCCACATTAAAAAAACTCTTATATGAATTTGTAATCTAATGTTCAGTGAAATCCCCAGAGTTGTCTACAAAATAGTTTTAAAATATATATTCTCTCTTATGAGTGTGTGTATTTGTGGGGAAAACTGCTCTACCCCCCAAGTAAATTTTGTTGAGAACACGAGAAAGGTCCTTTTTGGTGGTTCAGTGCCATTTGGTTTGGATAGTTGGATATAGAACCTTTAAATTTTGGACTAAAGTCTGAACTGGATTAATCGCCAACTGAGATCCCAACCTATCATAGACTCATAGAATCATGGAGTTGGAAGAGACCTTGTAGGCCATCCAGGCCAACCCCCTGCGAAGAAGCAGGAAAATCACATTCAAAGCCACAATATCATCTGCCACGATGGTGGCCACTCCCAATCTCTGGATGCTCTGTTGTGAGAGGCCTCTCTGTTGGCCTTCTGAGAGAAATCAGGGGCTTTCATTTAGACAGCCTTTGCTATATTAGCTGGGAGAAAGAAGTTATCTGATTATGCATCAAAAAGATATACAGTTTAACACACAGGACCTCATTAATGGGTAGCAAAAATATACTTTCTTAATCATCAGAATTTTAAGGATGTTTAAAAATATATACTTAGCTGAGTAGAAGTGGAGGGAGATCACAGGTTCACTTCTTTGAATTATATAACAGAGGAGCAAATCCAAGTTTCTGTGACAGTATTCTTATTACAGCAAAACATCGAGCTCATTGTATTTCATATACAAAGAAATATATGCATGCTCTTGGTGGGGTTCTTAAACTGTGACCTGTCACTCAGAAAAAAATAAATATTTTTCACCGCTACAGGTAGACACAAGTGTTTATCAGGGTTAGCTGTTAAGATAAAATGAGAACTGACCTATTGAAATTAATCTGAATATATTCTGTTACTTTGTTCACCAACCCCTGCATTGCTGGACTACAGAGATATAGATTCACAGGTTTAACCACTGCCACTTCAGAGCTCAGTTTGCTTATCATCTTTCCTATTACCAAGCCAGCTTAAGTATTTTATATTACTTGATTTTGTTGACTTAGGATTTTAAAACAGGGCAATCTGGGTGATGCAGAGGGCAGAAGAAATAATATATAAAGGAAGGCAATGGCAGATTCTTGGCATGAAGAAAATTTGAGGAAGTAAAACAAAGAAAGCAGCAGGAAAGAGTTGTATGGCAGGAACTCTCCTGTTTAAAAAAAACCCTAGATATGAATTTATTCGTGAAGCATTTGAGTCACAATAGTTCTAATATTAATTTAAAGCATACTCATATATGAGAATAAATTTAATAAAATATTCAGAGGTGATAATAAAGTCAGGCTTATCTTATGTATAATGTATGGATCCTTTCTAATAGGATATTCTTATTATATTATTTTGGGCACAGAAAATCGTGTTGTGAGAAAAAGTGTTATCTTGTCACATATATGTCCATATGTGTATGCACAAGGAAACTATGTTCAGTTTTCTTTGCTGCATGTTTTTGTTAATCATACATCAGTATAAGATTATATTCTTGGAATTTGGACTGTTGTTGGTAATAAAACTAAAGAAGTCACAATTCCTATCTGGTTGGTATTTTATTGCACTCTAAGACTTTAACATTTTCGGTCTTAACTGTCTCATTAAATATCTCCTGACAGACGTTGATGAATTTTTACCATTAGAATGGTGTGTTACATTCAGATCTGCTTTTACATGTCCCTTAGAGACCCGAAGATACCATGCAAATATGAAAAAAAGACTAATTCTGAATAATCTGTCTTTCAACAAGCACAGATTCATCATGAATGACAGGTAGAGAGGTTCAGCAACACGTTCTGGTCGTCTGAACAAGGACTTGGTGCTTTTCCTTTGTTTTCTGAAAAGATGATAGTATTTTTATGACAAGGAGAGATAATTTCTTCTTATCCTTGCATCTTTACAAGTGTGCTGAGTTTCTGAAGATTAAAGTCTAACCTTCACTCGGTGACCTCCTTAAGTCTTCCCTTTCTTTCATTCTTGATGACAAAATGATGCATTTTCATATAATTCAAATTTACATGTAGATTAAAGGGACATTTAAAATTAATGGAAGAGCAGTATTTTCTTAAAATCTGTCTACAGAGCTGTCTGATTCAGTGCCATGGCTGTGATTGGAATAAATAGAGCACACAAATATTGGCCAAGAGGACATTGAGCTGTTAATGTTTGCACCTGCTGGTGCTGAAAAGATTTACTGCAACAGGAGCTGAAAGGAGCAAGTCAGGTTCAAGGATATCAATGATGAGAAATTCTTCCTTCAGCCCATCAAGGCTTCTTGTCTGCTTTACTCTCCAGCATTTCTTTGTACATAAGAGAAATAATGACTTCTCCCTGCTTTTTCCCCCCTCTATGTCCTCAAGTAGTCATTAGTTCATTAAGTGAAGTACCTGCAACAAAAGGAGGCTCATTTCCAATTTCTTTATACCTTTATTTATTAGTTAATTTTGTATTCTGGCCCTTCTCCAAGCCATTCAGAGCAATATATATGGGATTACCTATATCCAATCCTACTCTTTATACCTATTTTTAAAAGAACATTATTTTTATTGATGCTAATAAGATAGACTGCTTTTCAAAATGGCATGTATAGCTGCGTAAGTGCATATCCCAAATAAAATACTGGCATATCAGCATTGCTAATGCTAATTATATTTTTGAATAATTAGCTTTCTGACGCTTGGCTGGTGATCTTAGTTTTCCTTCTTAGTCCATTTCCCCCTCTTTGGTTAATTATTTAATAGTAGACGTAACTTTTCATTTTTCTCAGAACACATTTTTGTTTGCTGTGGAGCAATTTAAGTTGAATTGAAGTGGCAGCACAGAATGAAAACACATGATATGAGCAGGAAATATAAGCGCTTAATTATAGCATATGCAGCTATGTTTCATTTGTTATGTTTCCCATTTTGTAATCTCTGTTGGAAATATTTTTAACTCAAGTGTGCATATGAGTAGAGATTACTAACGGTGATAAAATGTGCTGAGCTGAGTGATAACTTTGCTGATTATGGATTATGGTACATTTGAAATTCAGATATACTGTATTTCCTTGAAAAACTGCCATATACATTGTTTCACTGTCTCTCATGGAAAAATAAAATCATTTTAAAAATTAAAACAGGCTAGACAATTTTCTTCAAAGGAAAACTAGGTAAGCATCTCAGTCATATAATGATACATTATGCAAATACACTAAAAGCTTCAATATACCTGTCAGAATGAGTTTCATATAGAAATTCAGTTATTAACTCTATACAGTGTCGCTCGTTGGGTGCACTTGAATATTAAAAGTCAATCTCCTCTAATTCATTCATTATTCATTTTTGGCAGAATTTATTGTTGTTTTATACTTTACTCTCTAGACCTGTCACTAATTGTTCTGCATGTAGGTGATCCATAACCCATATTAAAAATTATAGGTTTTTTAATAAGCCTGACAGTGTTTCCTTTATTGGTCAGTATGTGAATATGCTTTTCCAAATGAATTATCTCACTAATTTAAAATATCATGTTTGTGTACAGTTTATGTTCTGCAGTATGTCTTTCTATTCTGTATGCATTAAATTCCTTAGGGTAACATTTGGTTTTAAAAGGAATAAAACACAGGACTCTGAAATCCAGCTTGTAGAAGTAGACTCATAGAATCATAGAGTTGGAAGAGGCCTCGTGGGCCACCCAATCCAACCCCCTGTCAAGAAGCAAGAAAATCTCATTCAAAGCACCCCGACAGATGAACATCCAACCCCTATTTAAAAGCCTCCAAAGAAAGAGCCTCCACCACACTCCAGGGCAGAGAGTTCCACTGGTGAACAGCTGTCACAGTTAGGAAGTTCTTCCTAATCTTCAGATGGAATTGCCTTTCCTGCAGTTTGAAGCCATTGCTATCCTAGTCTCCAGGGCAGCGGAAAACAAGCTTGCTTCCTCCTTATGTCTTCCCCTCACATATTTATAAATGGCCACCATGTCTTCTATCATTTTTCTATAAGTAGTTTTATAAAGTTTTTAGCTTTCTAAAGTAGTGGAGTACAGATCCATTTTATTTTGGCCTTCCATGTCCGTGGATTCTGCATCCAGAGTCAACCATTCATGGTGTGAAAATGTTTTTTAAAAAATCCAAAAAAAGAAATATTGAGTTTGCCTTTCACATAAAGGACAACTTTGCTACACAATTGTATATAATGGGACAGGTTTTAAGGCCTGTCTGGATGAGCCCTTCGATTTCCCTCAAATCCATGGAAATCTGTAGTAGTCTCACCCATAATATTCTTGTTACTGAAGATTCCTTTTAGCCAGAATCTTTCAATTACTTTATTGACCAGTTACATTTAAAGGATTATGATCAACTAATTTGGAGATACAGCATATTATTTGAGAACACAGAAATGCTGGAGCACTCTAACAATCACCATGTCAGACTACACAGAGAAGCCACTGAAATCCACAAGCATGTGGACAATTTCAGAAAGGAGGAAACCATGAAAATTAACAAAATTTGGCTACCAGTATTAAAAGAAATCTAAAATCAGGACAGTAAATAAAGAGCAACACTCAGAAAACTGGGGAATTCCAGACATGAAATAATCAGGGCCAGCTGACACTTCTCAATGAAAGATTCCCCCAGGCAGGGAGCAACCTGGCTTTGAAGCTGCAAGGCCATTGAATGTTAATCAAGGTGGCCAATTGCAATATTCACACCTGCCTCAAGCAGACAAGAGTTCTTTCTCCCACTGTGGACATTCCACAGATATATTAACCCCACTTGCCTGGCTTCCAACATACTTCATACCTCTGAGGATACCTGCCAAAATGTGGGCTAAAAGTCAGGAGAGGAAGCTTATGAAATATAATCATACAGTTTGGAAAACTCACAGTAATCCAGTGATTCTGGCCATGAAAGCCTTCAACAACAGAATTTGGAGATACTATTCCCATGCCAAGGACACTGACATTTTTTTAAAAGCAGCTTTCAAAATATTCATGTTATCTCAAAACCAATGCCTCTTCATATAGCTAAATATATATAAAAATAACTTTATACATATAACTTAGATCCCCTTTCTAAATGTGCAGTTGCAGTTATACTGCCAAAGATGGCAAATCTTTTTTTCATATTCACTTTATTAGATTAATTCTACTTGTCATAATGTGGAACAATACAGTAATTTCTTTCTTTGATGTCTTTGTTTTGTTCAATTCTAGGTTAAGCCTTGAGTGAATACACAATGTCCATGAAAAAAATGTTTTAAGTTCAGATATTACATTATTTGAGCTAAATATCCTCTTTTGTGGATGAATGGATAATAGGCCATTATGAAGTCTGCATGCTAGGAATTTCAATAATAGTCATTTTGATTTATTGGAGCGCTGTTTATGCCACCTATTGTAAACCCATCCCAATGACTGGTGATTTTTAAAATTGTTTTATTTATGTATTTATCTGTTTTACAGCTAGTGCTTGTTTACTTTGATTGCTATTTCAGCCTTAGATTTTATGATATTTACATTTGGATAGTGTCTGAACATGAGTTAAGTAAAAAAGGAATTCTGTCAATGTAATAATAACACTAAACAACAATCTATTTTCATATTTTGCAATATAATGTTTATATTTTTAGTCATGTAGGAAGCAAGAGCTATTTTTCTGCTTAACAGATGGCAGAGGGAATAGATTAGCAGTAGAATTATTTATGAAAAACTATTCTTGCAAGAAAAGTGAACATGAGCATTTACCTCATCTTTAAGATATCCCACTGGTAGTGGAATAAGGCACACATGCAGCCGTGCACTTACAAGTCACAGAATGATTTATAAAATAATTCAAGCATACAAATTTAAGAGAAAGATTAGAGCTCATAGTTTTAAAATGTAATGAAAAGATGTGATGTCTAAGCAATTAGGCAGTTTGATTAAATATGAATGTTTCCTCACCAGAGAGCCGTTCATTCAATTAAGTGAATTAAAACTTTTTTACTGTGTGTTATAGCTAGAAATGAAGGGTTTTTTTTCATTGTTGATGAGTACATTGAAAAAACTAAAGGAACGTCTGAGACTATGCTACTCATTCAGGGGCAATTGCTCCTGATTTTATTATATTTTCTGGTGATCCAGTTTATGAAAGAGAGACTGAAGACTCAAGTATTTGTGCCAGTTGATTTTTAAATAATTAAATCTGAAGAACTGCTTCGACACCATATTTAATCCAACATTTTTTAAAATTTTAGGACACAAGCTGTGTGAACAACACAAGTTTAAATCTGAATAGTCACAGAATTATTGGCACAATTTGTTAAATTGGACATTCTGTTTTTCATACCTTAGTTACTTTAGCTACTTCCAGATTGGACTATTGTAACGCGCTCTATATGAGGCTGCCTTTGAAGATGGCCCGAAAATTGCAGTTGGTGTAAAGGTCGGCAGCCAGGTTATTAACTGGAGCTAATTACAGGGAGTGGTCAATCCCCCTGTTTAAACAGCTCCACTGGCTGCTGATAAGTTTCTGGTCTCAATTCAAGCTGTAGTTTATAACCTACAAAGCCCTAAACGGTTCGGGACCTTCCTATCTTTTTTGTTTACATCTTCCCCTACAAACCTGCATAAGTTCTAAGATATTCTGGGGAGGCCCTTCTCTCGCTCTCTCCTCTGTCACAAATGCAATTGGTGGTAGTGGGGAAGAGGGCTTCCTCAGTGTTTGCCCCTAACCTCTAGAAGTCTATTCCCACTTTTCATAAAGACCTAAAAATGTGGATATTTCATTGTACCTTTGATTAAACAGTTCACTAGATAATTCCCCCCCCCCTCCCCCAGGCATAACAATATCTGGCTCCTGCACTTTACTACTGTTCCCTGCCCTATACATATAGTGTTCTAATTGACATTTCCCTTCTTGTCCTAACTTATCATATGGCTCCTGCACTTTTTCCATCTGCCCTGTCCTTGCAACTTTATTGCAGAAGTCCCTACCCGCCTGAGTTTAGCATTTGATTACTATGTTAGTCTATTGGTTGTTTGTTGTTGTTATTCTATGTTGTTTTATGATGTTGCTCTTACAAATTTTATTGTCCTATGTTTTAATGCTATATTTAAGCAGGCTTGTCCCCATGTCAGCTGCCCCGAGTCCCTTCGGGGAGATGGTGGCGGGATACAAAAATAAAGTTCTTGTTGTTGCTGTTGTTGTTATATCCTAGTCTAAGCTGCATTTTGAGGGACTAAGCCATAAAGGGGTACTGAAATATATATTTATGTTCAATTTCCATGCAAGTAAAGGGACAAATAAATAAATAAATAAATAAATGATAATATTGGCTAAATCTATTAAAAGTGTCTTTATATTGCTATTCCCTGTAACTATTCAAGAATTTGTAGATGTGTTCATATGATCCTGTATTAAGCTTATTTTGTACAGTTCCAATTATGATGCTTGTGAACAAAGTACAATTGGCAGAAAAATGTGATCCCGTATTAAGCTTATTTTGTACAGTTCCAATTATGATGCTTGTGAACAAAGTACAATTGGCAGAAAAACACATTAGGATTTATTTATTTTGTGTTAAAAGGATTTCATAAATAAACAAGTATAAAACTGATAAAATAGAGGGAGCACAAGATTTTAGACCAAAAATGGGCAACAGCAACCACATTGTCTGTAGCTTTAAACAATTCTTCTTCTGTGCATAGGCAGGGCATTGTGGGAAAGCATGCAGATGCGGAATTGTTTGTTCTGCTCCACAGTCACACACAGATAGTGCAATTTGTCCACTCCACTTTTTAGTCTGTTCAGAGACTTCCAAATTTCCCATTCTTGGTTGGCCTCTGAAGAGCAGAAAATCAGCAGAAAAACACTTGGGGATATAGTTCCATTATTCTTGAAAAAGGTGTAAAGTAGCTCTTCTCTTTCTTTCTGCTTGCACGCCTTTTTTTCTTACCACTGTGTATTTTTTCTAAGAGGATTGATTTGTTATAACATTTTCCTTGATCTTATACAAATAGCTTAAGTATTTTTTACAGTTTTATTCTTATTCTAGCACCAGCAAACTCAGTGAAATATTATCTTTATGGTAATGCTTTTCTTCATAAAGGGATTTGAACATAGTGTTTTATTCTCTAATATTATTAATGTTTTTTCAAGATTTTGTCATTGCTATTCTGTCAGAAAAAAATGATTTTTAATCATATAACTTATGTGGTAGTACATTTTTTAATTTAAATTTGGTTTTTTCCCCAGTTTTAACAGACAGGCCTCCACCAATCATTCTTCAGGGACCAGTAAACCAGACATTGGCAATAGATGGAACAGCTTTATTGAAGTGCAAGGCTACTGGTGACCCAATGCCTGTTATCAGCTGGTTAAAAGAAGGATTCCCTTTCCTGGGCAGAGATCCAAGGTTATCTATTCAGGACCAAGGAACCTTGCAAATTAAACCTTTACGGGTGAGTGCAGCAGGCTCTAATAATATGTTTACCATCTTTAAACAAGGTGACTAATACTTAAAGGAAATCCATTTGTTACTCATTGAATGTAATTTGAATAGCCATATAATTAAACCATTTTATAGATTGTGATTGTAAACTTCTATCAATAAAACATTTTTGCAAGCAAAAGACCTCTGATCATTAAAGAGAGGTTCATATCTCAAGAAAAAAATATACTCAGATTTTGAAGGTTTTGAACCTTCCTATGTTATTTTAAGCAGGTGTTTCTTAGGAATGGGGATGTAGGTCTTCACTGCATTCCTAATTGAAAGAATAATAGAATCATAGAGTTGGGAAAGACCACAAGGGCCATCCAGGCCAATCCTCTGCCATGCAAGAACACACAAAGCACCCCCAACAAACAGTCATTCAGCCTCTGCTTAAAAACTTCCAGAGAAGAAGACTCCACTGCACTCAGGAGCCCCCGGTGGCGCAGTGGGTTAAACCCCTGTGCCGGCAGGACAAAAGACCGACAGGTCACAGGTTCGAATTCGGGGAGAGGCGGATGAGCTCCCTCCGTCAGCTCCAGCTCCTCGTGCAGGGACATGAGAGAAGCCTCCCACAAGGATGATAAAACATCAAATCATCTGGGCGTTCCCTGGGCAATGTCCTTGCAGACGGCCAATTCTCTCACACCAGAAGCGACTTGCAGGTTCTCAGGTCACTCCTGACACGACAAAAACAAAGAAACAAAAACCTCAGAGGCAACATATTCCATTGTGAAACAGTTCTTGAGTATTTTAGCTTTTCCTGCCTTGAGTAAGGCTATAACTATAAACTATTTTTTTTTCGTTTTGGACAGAAAGGAGCATTTTCTATACAAATAATATAGTTTTCTGTATAGAAAATGCTGTTTACTATGTAAATCACCCATTTGTGAATTTTGTATAGAGTAAGTCCCCAATTATAGCATTTCCTGTGCAGAAAAAGAATCACTCTGTGTAGAACTATTTTTATGTACAAAAAAAATTGTTTTCTGCTCAAACCAACCATGTGTAAATTTGAGAAAGAATAAGCTCAAGCTGTGAAGATTCTCTTGAATCCCAAATTCTTTTCATTTTAAGTTTTTCAAATGATAAAAATAATTATTATCATTATTACTATTATTATTGTTTTCTACTAGCCATCTCCTGGTGATCTGGAAAATAAATTAATGTGAAAGTGTTGGTTTCTAATATATGTAATTTCTTTATGCTTGTGGATAAACAGTATTTCTTGCCCTGTTTTCTTGCCCAGGTGAATGGAGTTGACCTTAAGTATTTTCTATTGGACATAGGGATTCTGTGTGGGATGTTTTCCCCAATTCTATTGTTGGTGGGGTTCAGAATGCTCTTTAATTGTAGGTGAACTATAAATCCCAGGAACTACAACTCCCAAATTACAAGGTCTATTTCCCCCAAGCTCCATCTGTGTTCCTACTTGGACATATGGAATATTCGTGCCAAGTTTGGTCCAGATCCATCATTGTTTGAGTCCACAGTGCTCTCTGGATGTTGGTGTACTACAACTCCCCAATGCCCACCAAACCCTTCCAGTATTTTCTGTTGGTTATGGGAGTCCTGTGTGCCATATTTGGTTCAATTGCATCGTTAGTGGAGTTCAGAATGCTCTTTGATTGTAGGTGAACTATAAATCCCAGCAACTCCCAAATGACAAACTAATTTTTTTTTGAGTGATGATCACTCCTTGGGTTAGTAGGTGTCTTGTGGTCAATTTTGGTGGCAATTCGTCCAGTGGTTTTTGAGTTATGTTAATCCCACAAATGAACATTACATTTTTATGTATATAGATTTATCATTTTTTGCCTTATTCTTAGTATTTTTTTCTCTTCTCCTTTCTCCTCCTCCTCCTCCTCCTCCTCTTCTTCTTCTTTCCCTCTCTTTCCTCTTTTTATTGTAAGGCAGAAATAAATAAAAATATCTTTAAAAAAGTTTCTCAAATATTTCTTTTTTAAAATGTAACTATTTTTCAAACTTTTCTAATATTATTCCTACCTCTACTCAGGAACATCTCTAGCAGGGCATTTTAAGTTAAATATTAGAAACGTTCTTTAAATCTACTAAGTTGTTGTGGTTTAATTTTGATGTCCTGGAGACCTTTGAAGTGCATGTATTGTTTCTTCTTCTGAATAATTTCTTTGGTTGAATCAATAAGGTCTTCCACAGACAGGGTCCCTAATGCAACAATTATGCCAGTTGCTCAGTGCTAATCAGTCTGATGGTAAAACAGATTAATAGTAATAATAAATGTTATTTTTATTCATGTCTCCTCATGACTTGACACGGGTAACATGTTCAAAACACAGAGATAAAATATAATACTATTAAATGTGTATATTAAAATTCACAGAAAAAGATTGACACCAATACTAATAAAATTTAGAGTAAAAATTCACAGTTTAGAACTGACCTGGTTGGCTTGCTGGAAGCAATAAGTCTTCTTCTGAATCTTGAATTCTGACAGCTTATTTAGCTGTCGAAGCTCTTCTGGCAAATCATTCCACAGCCTAGAGGTGGCTGATGAAAAGTTCCTTTGAGTGACAGTTCCTAGTTGGGTTCTGGCTGGCTGAAATAGACACTCCCCAGAGGATCTAAGTGTCCTAAGGGGCGGATTATAGGGGAGAAGGGGATCCTCTAGGTAACCTGGACCCAAACCATGTAGGGCTTTAAAGGTCATAACCAACACTTTATACTTTTCTTGGAAACTAATTGGCAACCATGGAGTGACCTTATCATGAGTGTAACATACTGGCTCCTAGATGTTCCCATAATGAATCTGGGTGGCATCTTTTGAACTAATTGGAGTTTCCAAATTTGGTACCAAGATAACCCAATATGCAATGCATTGCAGAAGTACGACCTTGAAGTTACCAGCATGTAAACCACCTTTAGATCTTCCAGTTCAAGGAAGGTGTGCAGTTGGTGTATCAGCTGAAGGTGCTAATAATCACACCTTATTGTCTCATCTATCTGAAATGACATTTGGGGACACAGATCCAGGAGCACCCTCAAGCTGCAGACACAGTCTTTCAGGGAGAGTATAATTTTGTAGACTGGTTGACACCCCTCCAACCCTAGGTTGGGTCCCTTATTAGCAAGCATATATTTCTTATCTAGATTCAGTTTCAATTTGTTTTTCTTCATCCAGCCCACCATCTCCTCCAGGCATTCATTCAGAAGGGACATGCTGTCCTCAGCTAAAGTTGTTTTTGAAGGCATGGAGAAATATTTTTGGTTGTCATCAGCATACTAATACAAACTCACCCCTTTCCTCCATATGATCTTTCCCAGCGGTTTTATGTGCATATTAAAAAGCATTGAGGATAGACTAGCCTCTTGTAGGATGCCACAAAATAGCTACTGTTTTGAGCACCACCATCTGGAACCTGCCTGACAGGTAGATTAGTTTACTTTTGCAGATTACTCTGTTATTGCTTGCACAATACCTTTATGATAAATCATCCCTTTTGTGTGAAATTAGCAGTGCACTCAGAGTTATTTCTTAGCTACAAACCTAAAAAAGAACTAATGTTTACTAAGTTAAGATTAACAACTCATTATCCTAATTGTCGAAACCCATTATAAAGTTTCTTGTTAAACAGAAACCTTACTGAGCTTCAATCATAGTCAACATAAGTGGTTATATATGGTGTGTAAGGGAAGGAAATGGAATATACCTAAAGAGAGGATAATTTGCAGGAAGACTGATATTGCTCAATCCAGCTCCTAATTTATTAAGTGCAGTTTGTTAAGAGGAAAAAGAGTGTAGTAAATATAGGAATAATGGTTTGTCTGCCAACCCCCGAAGTAAAGACTCACGAATAAAGACACAACAACCAAGTCAGTGGGTTCAAATTGGGCAACTTTTATTTAACGTTACCTATTTAAGTGCTTAACCTAACTCAAAGGGGTGTCGGGAACTGGTATAACCAAACCCAGGTAGATTCACTACCAGATCTTAAAACAACAATTTTCGGGCGAAGCACCTGGGTTTCCTGGTAATAAACCCGGACCACCAAGCAAGGGAAATGAGTGAGGAGTCTCTTCCAAAGATCTTGCACCCTGACTCCTCTCATTTCACGGCCATTTGACTTCACTTCACCTTTTAACTAAAATGTAGGTGAGTGTTTAACTTAATGGCCTATCACCCCTTAAGGGGGTGCCTTAGGTGCACACCGACTAAAGGATTTCCCTAACTATTTTACGCTAGCCTATTTAAAGATAGTCCACCATTCTATCTAGCCCCTAAACAGTACAGGGTAGGCAAAAAACCCTCCCCTTGAAATAAGAAGGGAAAAAATTCCTACCCGGTTCCATAGGCAACCTAAATTATACTGTTAATGGGCGGGAGTGGTGGGCAGCTTCCAGGCTCCGAATGAGCCTGGGTGGGGGCTGGCCTGTACTAACAGGCCACGCCCCCTAGTCCTCTGGAAGGTTCCATTGGAACCATCCCTGCCTCGTGGGAGGCAGACAAACCATTTTTCTCTCCCCATTTCACGGGGAGAGGAAATTTATTATGTTTATAAATATGCTACCAGTATATGATATGTGCAATGCATAGTTAATTGCAATAATTCATCTAATATATAAAAAGAGAGGAGGAGGGAGGGAAGGAGAATATGCACAGAGAGATACCTATACATTCAGAGAGGTAAATAATAGATATAGTATTCATAGTTACAATCTTAGTGCAAGCACTATTTCATTTCATCAGCAGTAGGCTAAGACTTACATTTATTATCATCTTCTTTTTTGTACCTCATATAGAGACAGCTTTAAAATAACAGTTTTTTGTTTTCTTCCACTATGTTATCAATGCTTATAAATGAATTGTTAACCTCCTTGGAACAAAGTGGAATTTATTAAAAAAAATGTATGCTAGCTTTCCTTGAGTAAACAATTTATCCTCTCTCAAGGCTAAAGGCAGGTTTGGGCCATGAAGGTTAATGCATTTTTACTGTCAAGTTGGATTAAAGAATGCGCTTGAATAGTCAAGATTCCCCAGTAGTGTTGGAAAGCAGCAATTAAAGACAGTAGCTTAGTGATTTCAAACAAACTTACAGAACACTGAAGATGGGTTTCTGGCAAGAATCCATATAGCAGAAGCTTGTGGGATACTTGTCCATCTCTTACTATGAAAACAGCCAAATATCAGTTCAGCCATGCACATCCATTAATTGCTTTGTTCTATACATCAAATTTATAAAAGAGACTAAAATAATTTTTTTTTTTCATGAGGAAGATCCTCAACAAAGAATAAGTCACTTTAAATTTCAGGTTATTATTTGATCGGGTCTGTTGATTTGCTCATATGCCAAAAAATTCCTTAAACAAAACCAATACTTTTTTCAGTTCAATTCAATTTAGGATCTGTCTGAAGAAGGCAGACAAAATTTGTTAAGTGCAACAATTTGGTTATACAACTTTCAAAGTGATGGTACTCACCTTTAAGGCCTTGCATGGTCTGGGGCCGATGTATCTGAGGGACCACCTCACCCCCTACCAACCCCAGAGATCTCTCCGTTCTGAGGACCAAGATCTATTGGAAGTCCCCAGTGTCAAGACCTTGCGTCTAACAGCAACCAGACGCAGAGCCTTCACAGCAGTGGCACCATCACTCTGGAATACTCTGCCAGCTGAAGTCTGTGCCTTGCGGGACTTACCAGCTTTCCGCAGGGCATGTAAGACATACCTGTTTCGACAGGCTTTTAATGTTTGATATTGTTGTTTTTAAATTGTTTTAAATTGCTTTTAAATTTTGTTAGATTTTAGCTATTCTTGTAAGCCGCTCCGAGCCCCAAGGGAGTGGTGGCATATAAATTCAAATAATAAAATAAATAAATAAAAAACTTTCTAACTACCCTTAGAGCTAATTAACTCATCTAACTATTAATAGAGTTAATTAACATAGCAATTATGATTATAGATAAATTGGGGCACTGGCACCACGCAGAGCTGTCACATATATATTCTTCAATTCCTACACATTGCTTTTGCATGAGAAAGAGAGTAGGAAAGATGGTGAGACCTGTATATTCCCATTCTCAAAAATGAAGTATAATAGACCGACTTGCCAAATAGATGAATATGGCTCTTTTAAATCCATATTCAAGGTTAAACTTGAAAAATCCTTTGTACTACTGGGTTTTGTTTTATCTAATTCATGTTCAAAAAGGATAGTTGTTTTGTTAAGGTTCTATTAGAATGTGACCTTTGCCATAGAAGGGAAGGGGGGCCTATTTCCTTCAGTAACTGTCAAGTAAACACCCGATTGGATTATGTTGATTTAGTATCCATCTAAAAACCCTCAAAAACAATGAACATTGAAGAAATAACAGAGATATTTATGGCATGAATACAGATCAGTCACATGAACTCAAATCTCTCACACAGTCCTTTTTTTTAAAAAAAGAAGATCAATAAACTAGCTTGGTCCCTACCTTCTAGATCTATAGGACTCTGCACACAGGATATGATCTTCGGCAATATGATATGATTTTAGCCTCTTATCACAAGTGTTAGCTTTCTTTCCAAACCTTTTCTGTTTCTAGGCTAAGATTAGGGCTTCATGGGGTACTCCATACTCAACCTACTACTGCTTTTGATTGATCTGACATCCAATACATGGCCCTAATCTATAATATTAAAAGGTTTCCCTGTTTTGTGGAAGAGAATGATGGACAGAAAAAGCAAAACAAAAATGTACATAGAATGTGGTATATCTTCCCATGAAACCCATTTATTTATTTATTTATTTATTTATTTATTTATACAGATTTGTTTCTTTTTTTTAAAAAAGTCTAAACATTTTACGAGCCGCAGCACAACTTAGTTAAAACCTTTGATTCGTATCAAAAACTTTCAAACATAATTATAGAAATAAAGAGAAAAGGTCTATTTGGGGTAGTAGCTTGAAGTTATTTCTTTTATGTAGATATTGGTACTGCAAGATTTAAGAATTTCTTTTGAATTCTGAATGTTCCACTTTGTTGTGTTTTCTGCACTTTCTAGTCAAGGTACACAAATGTCTCCAGCAAACAGTGATGCCATTTCATGCAAACCCACTACTAAGAAAGAATGATTAGAATTCACAATATATACACATTAAATATTAAATACATTATATACATATTAAATATTCAACTTTCTACCTAATCAGCTTCCATTATTTGCACTGAGATCTATTTGAGCAGTACCAGAATGTGCATTAACACCAGGCATGCACAAACTTCAGCCTTCAGTAGGCTGTTAGGAATTGTCTGAGTTGAAGTCCAAAACACCTGGAGGGCCAAAGTTTTCCTATGCCTGATCTACACTATAAAATTAATGTTTTACTTTAATTGCCATGGCTCAGTGCTTTGGAATCCTGGGAGTTGTAGTTTTACAAAGGTTTAGTCTTCTCTGCCAAAAGGCATTTGGTGTCTTGTCAAATTACAAATCACAAGATTCCATAGCATTGAGCCATGATAGTTAAAATGGTGTCAAATTTCCTTAAGTTCCTTAATGTAGATTTATCCACAGGTAGCAAGTTGCTTTTGCTATGCGATTTTCAAAAGAATCGGTGCATGGAGATATTCATTTGTGAAACTCATGTATTCTGTCAGTTATTAATGTTGAAGTGATTTGTCAGGGAAATTAAAATCTACACTTTCTAAACTTTTATAATGAAGACATAGGAAGCTGAAAATTAAAGGATTTAATTGCTCATGTCTTCTGTATGGTTTATTCAAGCAATGAAAAAAACATTGTCATATTAAATTGTTCTCTTTACAAACTGTTATCCCAAACTAGTTACACTGATAACATGTTAGATTCTAATATGTGGACAAAAAAAATCTTGAAAACAGATCAAATAGGATTAAGGTTCAAGATATTAAATAGAAGCTATCATTAAAATATTGTTTTGAAATATTTCGTTCTATTTATTCTGACTCAAAGCGCAGTGTAATCCACCTTGATCTGCAAACAAGAAATATTTAGAAACATTAAATGAGGAGTATATGTCCTCAACCATTTCTCTGTGTTTAGATGTCTGACACTGGGACATATACTTGTGTTGCCACGAGTTCAAGTGGAGAAACGTCCTGGAGTGCTGTGTTAGATGTGACAGGTAAGCCATGGCTATCATCTCAGGTAGATATTATATCAAGAAGTTCTGTAATGGTAACTTAGTTTCTTCTTAAATCTTCATGTTATGAGCTAAATCTTATTTTATGTAAGCATATGTGCCCCTGGGGGCGCAGTGGATTGAACCCTTGTGCCAGTAGGACTGATGACCGACAGGTCAGAGTTTTGAATCTGGGGAGAGCACGGATGAGTTCCCTCTGTCAGCACCAGCTCCCCATGTGGGGTTCATGAGAGAAGTCTCCCACAAGAATGGTAAAACATCAAAACATCTGAGCATCCCCTGGACCACATTCTTACAGACAGCCACTTCTCTCACATCAGAAATGACTTGCAGTTTCTCAAGTTGCTTCTGACATCAAAAAAAAATGTTCCCCTGCTGTCTCTGCTCTCTGAGGTAGAATTTTTGAATCTGTAGAGTGCATGAGAGAGGCAGCCATCCCCTCCTGATTCCTCTGCCTAAAACTGTCCAATTCAGAGTTAGATTGATAAGCTCCAAAGAGAAGTACAGTTCATCTTTCATGTCTAATAGATTCTGCATCCACAGATACCACCATTGACGGCTTGAAAATATCTCCCTCATTCCAAAAAGCATAACTTGATTTTGCCATGTTATATAAGGGACACCATTTTACTATATCCTATATATAATTGGATTTAAGCATCCACTCATTTTTATATCCATGGGGGCGGGGGTTCTGGAACCAAACCCCAGTGGATATATAATTTGACTCTCCTCCCGAGAAGCAGACCCATCATTTCAACTAACCATGGTAGCTCTGTTGCATCTTCGGCTTCATCTGCATGTCATCCCCTTCATATTACAAAAGGGGGAAAGTAAGTCTTAATGTGCAGCAAGCTATAATTTAAAACAATGGGTCTGTGGTGGTGCAATGAGTAAACTGCTGAGGTGCTGAACTTGCTGACTGGAAGGTTGGCAGTTCGAATCTGTGGGACGGGGTGAGCTCCTGCTGTTAGCCCCAGCTTCTGCCAACCTAGCAGTTTGAAAACATGCAAATGTTAATAGATCACTAGATACTGCCTTGGCGGGAAGGTAAATGGCACTCCATGGAGTCATTCTGGCAACATGACCTTGGAGGTGTCTACAGACAATGCAGGCTCTTTGACTGAGAAATGGAGATGAGCACCACCCCTCAGAGACAGAATGGGAAGCCTTTATCTTTATCTGTGTTTTGTTGTTACTAGGCATTGAATGTTTGCCTTTGTGTTTGTGTGTGTTGGAATCTGCCTTGAGTTCCCTTGGGGAGACTGGGCGGAATACAAATAAATTATTATTATTATTATTATTATTATTATTATTATTATTATTATTATTATTATTATTAATCTATGTGGATAAACTGGGAAAGCCAGCTTCATCCATGGCTATATAGATATAGTTGAAGGATCCAAATCATTTTGTTAATTTGTTTTGCTGGAATTTTCACTAAAGCTTGAAAAAAGCTGTAGCTATAAAATATAGAAATAGTCAAACTAGCTATCTATTGTTAGCCTGTGTATCCAAGATGGGTATTTTAAATTTCCTTTTGAACTTTTAACGTTTATATTTTAATAAACTGTTTTGATTTCAAAAGCATAAAATATAAGTGTTTGTCCCCTTCAGAATCTGGGGGTGCAGCAGTCAGCAGAAATTATGATTTAAATGACCTCCCTGGGCCACCATCCAAACCTCAGGTCACCGATGTCACAAAAAACAGTGTCACCTTGTCTTGGCAACCTGGCACTCCTGGAAACCTACCAACTAGTGCATATATCATTGAAGCATTTAGGTATGTTACCAATCTTTTTTTTTTTTTACCATATTGGGACAATTTTGATATCTGCATGTCAGAACAAACTCATTTTAGAGCCTTGTTAATGTTAGGCAGCCAAAACATAAGAATTAAAAAAATGTTGTTTGTATGAACCTACGTGTTCTGATTGAACATTTCTGGAAAAATACTTGGTTGAATTCCCAATTATTCATATTCACTATGCTTTAATTTTTGGAAGCAATGCAAACAGCAATGCCGATGTCACTGAGATCAGGATTGTTACCAGTAATTGAATGATTCCAGTATTACTGGCTGCCTTTTGTTTTATAATGTGCATTCATCATTCATTCATCAACATCAAACTTGTACAAATGAAGTAATGTTTTCTAATTTTGTAAAATTATCCACTTAGACCTGGATATAAACAGCACTGACATCGCAGAAGTGCCACAAATTATGTTTATTAAGATATATATCTAACATTGCACTGAAAGTGTAGTTCTTTAGTCTTATCCTTCAAAAGTCTTACCTAGTAATTTTACACAGATACATACTATTCTTCTTTTGCACATAATGTTTGGATTAGGTGTTACATTTATATTTTGCTTTAATAAAATTATTCTGTTGGCAAGTTTGCTCTTTTGAAAAGTATGTTTCCATAAGGTGTATTAGCCTGCTATCTCTCTTTTTTACAGGCATTTTCATCTTTTGTTATCAATGTGTATCACTAAAGTTACAAACTCTTTTGCATTTACCAAAATGATTTAATAATTTAATAATAAATGTAAACTTCTCTCTCTTCAGTTGTTTTGAGCAGAAGATTGAAACACAGCCCTGAAAATTCTTTGTACTTCTTTGATCAATAGTCTTCCAATATTTTTTTAAATTTCAGTCAGTCGGTGAGCAATAGCTGGCAAACAGTTGCTAACCATATAAAAACAACACCCTACACTGTGAGAGGACTCCGTCCAAATACAATCTACTTGTTTATGGTGAGAGCTATCAACTCACAAGGTTTGAGTGACCCCAGCACCATGTCAGATCCTGTCCGAACCCAAGGTAACGTCATTCTGTTTTTCCAGCAACATTGTCACAGTTACACAAAAATGTGGAACAACCATTCTTTTCCTTTACGATACATTCAGAATATGCCTTCATATCTTAGAATGACTACTAAAAAAAATCCAGGAAAGGGCTATGCTGCTGAAGTAAGTTGTAAAGGTACAGAAAACAGGTGGGGGATGCAAGCAACAAATTTTTGATGTCGAAGAGGTCTGGGCAGTAGTGAGGATTTCTAAGGACACAGGAGAATTGAAAATTCAAATATGACCTTGGATGAATACCTTGATAATTAAATTTGTATGAAATCAAATTAGCCAGGGTGGTGAAATTCTCTGTAACGCTTCTAGGGCCAGATCATTTGAAAAAAAATTATTGTATCATGGACTTTAAGATCCCAAATGCAGTTCAACCTCTTGCAGTTCACCATTTGTTCATCACCAGTACTTTTATTACTAACCAATCCGTTTCCTATAACTCTAGTCTTCGTTCCCATACTCCATTTGTTCTCCCATGCATAAGGGCAGCCATGATACTAACAGGAGCGGAACGCAGGGAGCATACAACCCCCCTGTTGTGCCAGCTTCACTGGCTGCCGATTTGCTACTGGGCTCAATTCAAGGTGCTGGCGTTGGCCTATAAAGCCTTAAACGGTTCCGGACCAAGATACCTATCCGACCGCATCTCTACCTATGAACCCACCAGGACTTTGAGATCTTCCGGGGAGGCCCTGCTCTCGATCCCGCCTGCTTCACAAGCACGGCTGGTGGGGACGAGAGATAGGGCCTTCTCTGTGGTAGTCCCTCGGCTGTGGAACACCCTTCCCACGGACATTAGACTAGCACCATCTCTAATGATATTCCACAAGAAATTGAAGACCTGGCTGTTCAAGCAGGCGTTCGAATAATTAGTGCAGTGATTGGTAATGAATATAGAAATGGAACAACGGAAGACGAATTTTGAATTATGTTTTGGATGATGAGACGACGCTGAATGGTTATGGTAGTAATGGTGTTAACTGTGTATAGTGTTCGGTTGTGAATTGTTTTATTCTGTAGTTTTGAATCTTGCTGCTCTTGTTTGTTGTACACCGCTGTGAGTCACCCCCGGGCTGAGAACAGCGGTATATAAGTAAATAAATAAATAAATAAATAAATAAGGGTAAGAACCAACAAAGAAAATAAGTGGCATGAAAGGAAGATAACATACAAAGAAGACTGGGTAGCATAGAGGAGGGGAAAACTGGTGGTAAATATTACCATAACAGGAGGGTCTGATAGTAGAGAAAGAAAAGAAGAATGAAATGATGGAAGATTGACCAAGAGGGTTCCTCACTTATGACAGTGCCACTAAAGTTTGAAGGAGGACATTAAAAGTTACAAAGGAACTTTCAAAAACTGAGAGTTTCTATTTAGTTCAGTAATCATCAATTTAGTGAAATTTAGCAGACATTAAGTAAATTATGTTAATGAAATAACAAAGAACAATTGAAAAATATCTTTTGTGAACCCAACTATGACTATCCATGAAATCGTCTTCATATGATAAAACGGTACTGTTCCATTATCCAAATGGACTCCAAAAGGGAGCATAGACAGAGATAGTTCATTTTATGGGTGGCATGAAATGTGAGTTGAAGAAGTAAAACAATTTCCCCATTTTTGCTATTTATTCACCTCTCCCCTTTTCCCATATCATAAACGATGGTTGTTTCGGCAACTGAGACATGGGTGGGGGAATAACAGGAAAACAAGGGGAAATGGTTTAACTCCTTCAACATCCTACCCCAATGTAAAATGGACTATCCTTCTCTCTCTAGTATCCCCTTTTTGCCTCTGCCCAGATAATGGAATAGTACTGATAAAACCATTTTAAAATGAAGTGTCACAGACAGGTAGAAAAAGAGTGCCTGCAGCAGGGAGAACTGGAAGACTCTGCAGTGCTGATAATCCCATCTAAAAAGGTTTTTGAGAGAAAGATTGATATTTGGATTTTAAAACAAATACCTACAATTGTTAGAAAGAAAATAAATAGAAATGTATAACATAGCAAATACTGTGATGCATTTTATAACACTAGGGTCTTGTTATATAACAAACTTACTTGCCAGTATGTTCGTAATGACCAAAATGACTGTAGAAGAGAAGCTTGAGAGGAAACATTATAGCCAGCCATGTATAAATATGTGAAAGGATGTCATAAGGAAGAGGGAGCATGCTTGTTCTCTGATGCCCTGGAAACTAAGACTTGGATCAATGGATTCAAATTACAGGAAAGGAGATTCCACCTGAGCTTCATGACTGTAAGAGCTCTTCAGCAATGGAAATCTCTGTCTCAGAGTGTGGTGAAGGCAGGAGGTTGGACTAAATGTCCATTTGGTCTCTTCCAACTCTATTATTATATAATTCTATGAAAATATTTTTAAAGTTATTTTGAAACTTTGGATTTAATGACATAAAATAGGGAGTGGGCAACTGTGATGAGTTCCAACTTTTCCCCCTGCACACTTTAGCAGCTTATACCAGGGTGGAAAATAAAATTAAAACTGGGACTCATTTCTAGGCCCCTTCCAGGCAGCTGAATAAAATTCCACATTATCTGCTTTGAACTGGAATGTATTTATTTATTTACTTCATTTATATATTACGTTTCTCATCCCTGGGGGGACTCAAAGCTGTTTCCAACATATTCACAGCAAAATTCAATGCCTTACAAAATATGAAAACCTAACATAAAACAACAGTAACATAAAACTATCAATTAAATCATAAAATGTAACTGCATTTAAAACATTAAAACAAGGAATTACCAACATTTTAATATAAATATATAATGCAGTGTGGACTCAGGTAACCCAGTTCAAAGCAGATATTATGAGATTTTCTGCCTTGATATTCTGGATTATATGGCTATGTGGAAGGGCCCCTAGTTTCCAGCATGGTATTTTTTTTCTGTGTTGTTAAGGCAAACTGCTATTCCACATAATCACTCCAACTGAGAATCATGATTGAAAGTTGCTTCAGTTTGTGATTTCTAGTTTGCAGTCAGGCAGATTTTCCATGGTTTTCCCATGCAAAAAGGGGGAATAAGGTTAATTGCTTTCTTTTGAAATATCATTTGAGCATTTTTCTAGCACTTGGGAATAAAAATTGCTTGAAAAAGCTCAAATAAGGTGCTCTCAAGGTATAGGTGCAGAAAGACCCTGTATTTCATGTGGACAATAGGCAACCACAGACAGTACTTTTGCCACCGTTCTGGCATAAAAGGAAAATTGGACCATACTGTGTAGGAAATGTCTTAGAAAAGCTATCTGCCATGATGGTTATATGTAAAAGTTAACTTTGAAAAGGAATATAAACACATACTGAAAATGCATTCATGTATGAATTTCTGTGACATGTCATTATATTTTCAAACATAATTCTCCAGACTTTGGAAATGGAACCTCTGTGTTTTGTGGTAGTTTATCTTAGACCTGTACTGCCTAAGAACAAAAACAGAAGAAGATATAAGTTTCCAATAGGCGTCAGAATGAGGTGTTTAGAAAGAGAATATTGAAGCAGGTGACCATCTGGTCTAAAAAGTATTTTGTTTCTCAAGACTTGAAGGCCATGGCTGGTCCGGATGAATCAAGCTCAGCACTGGATCTGCAAGAGCTTACTCTTTTCTCTGACTGTGATACTAGTGTCAATGAAGGATTGAGGAATAGAACACACTATGACATGCAGACCCATGTAGCTTAAGCCTGTGCTGCTGTGGCTGCTGTTACTAGAAAGCCACATTAAATGAGCTTTCAGTTAACAAAATGTATCCTGGTGAACTGAATATTTTTTCCTGAAGAATGTCACATCTGTCTCCCTAGAAAAAAATGAAAATTTGTTGTTGTATTTTAATCAGTCTGGTTCACTTTATATTCCTTCATCAAATCCTTAACTGCAGGGGAAGGGGGTTAATTTAATTCCTGAATAATTTACTACCCCTGCAATGATATTATAGGTTGACTGAGAGAAACATAGCTATCTAACACATATTTTGTTGCAATCCATCAATTAATGTTTAGATTCTTACACCATAATTCTAGCACATGTGAAAGGAAATCACTTAAATGTACTGACCTGACTGTTTCCTAGAGGAATGTTGACATGGATACAGTGTCTGTATCTGCCCTAAGGGATATACAATACATGCACACACATGTGTTATGCTCAAGCCATTATAAAGGTTGCTAGACAAAGAATTTATGGGGCTGTAGTTTTGTGTGAATTACTGCACCCCCATATGGTTTATTACATCCCGGACATCTAGTGTTTACAATTTGTGTGCCAAAGCAGTTTCCACATACAGAAATCAAACCCATTACATGAACTGCTAAGGATAACTCTTCTCAAAGGTATTTTGGACACATTGAGCAGCAACATTGTAAATAATTTCCTTGCAAACAATATCCCAATTTCCACATGTTGTTTGAATGCTAGGAGAGTGCCTCAAATTATCTTGATCCCTTGAGAGAAATCCAGAAAACAGGCTCATTTGCCTCCTGGACCTTCAGTGAGTTCTGTGCAGGCTGGCCATAATCTTGTTATGTCAGATTCTACCTGACAGACTGAAAAAAACTTTCATTCATTAAAACAGTTATTTTATTTACTTCAATTTCTGTTGTAAGTCCTGTTTTCGCAAGCTGTCCACATGGGCATATGTAACCCTGACAGCTTTTGTGTTATTCTACAGTTTAGTGAAATTAAATAATGAATTCAGGTGACACTTAGCATAACGTTTTGATGTAATTTCAAATGGTGTTCTCATCCAAGCCTGCCTTACAAAGAAATTTGAAACCCGGGGGGGGGGGGGAGCCTATTCACACTAGCCGTTACATGGGAAAGAAACAGCTAAAAGCACTGGTGCACAATATCATTTAAAATAGGTATTTCTTACCATAGGCTCTAGTCATGAAGGAACAATAACCATTTACTGTGCAGAAAAGACTGTTTCTTCAAAAGAAACCCATATGTGAATTTTGCACAGAATAAATCCTGACCTGTGAATAGTTTGTGCGAATTTTCTGATAGAGTGAAAACCTAATAGTGCAAATCCCCTCTGAACAAATTTTGCCAAGAAAGCCTTGTGATAAGTTTGCCTTAGAATCAAAGAATTGGAAGGGGTCGTATGGGGTATCAGTTTGAACTCTAGGATCTTCACCATATTGAGCCTTAGGATCATCATAAATCAGAAATTACTTGATTGCATGCAACAACAGTTTGTGAAAGGGAGACCCATTCAGTTAGCTTAGCATGTTTTGTCTTTTTCTGTTTCTTTGCACTTTGTACAAATGCTCAGGAACTAACCAGAATGACATTTTATAGAGCTGTACATGTATACCTCTTCCAATTTCTACAACTTATTGTCTTTTATGGTTATATGCAATTATTGAAGAGACATTTTAATAAAACTCTGATATAGTGTTGCAAGTAATACATCTGGTTTCAGTTGTGGGAACATCCTTTGATGCTATTCTATAAAACCCGACCTACAATTTCATTGTATATCAAAGCTATTACTACTTAAAAGTTTCAAAACTTTTTCATCATTTACTATGATGAAATAAATGATGAAGCAAACACCATTTACATTTACTATGATTAGAAAAAGCATTGGAATCTTTAATATTTTTTACAATACACACACACAGGAACACTGTGGTTAGAAGAGCAAGCATGTCTTACATGCCCTGTTGGCTGTAATTCAGTCTCTTTTACTCTGTGATATCAGAATAAACTAATTTCACTAAGAAAATTTAAATTATGATTATTAAGCTTTTTAATCATTTTAATGAATTGATTCTTCTCAGTGCCTTTCCTTATTAAAATAATTTATGGGTGTGTGTACATGTGTGTTTGACTTGGCAGATATCAGCCCACCAGCACAAGGTGTAGATCACAGACAGGTCCAAAAAGAACTCGGGGATGTTATTGTGAGGCTGCATAATCCTGTTGTTCTGACCCCTACCACAGTTCAAGTAACCTGGACGGTAAGTGTTTCGTGAAAATATGCAGTAAAAGGAATAAACTTCTTTTCGTTTCCTTTTTCATTTTTGCACTATTGTTAGTAGACAGAAACAACCAAGCAAAAGCTTTCCTGTATACTATCCATCTATATAATATTCTTCACTTATGTGGAAAATATCAAGCTGAATTTAAAACAAGACATTGAGACAGGTATGCCTTTAAAATATATATTTCAAAACAAGGGCTCTATAGCTTTATTGTACTGCATTGAACATTTTAACCATATGTTTCATATTACAATAAAGATATCATTGTGGAATGTGTGTAAGAATATGTCTTGAAGCATGCTTGAATGATATTTGTAAGATTCTTCAGCATGAATAGCGACTGAGTGATCTTATTTAGTGATATTTTGATATTTCTCTTCAGTCCAAATGGGCCTTCTTGCCACAGGGATTGGTTTCTTAATGACCTTTGTAGTAATATTCTGTGCTACTAGCTGATCCATGCCTAAGGTAAAGAATCTCTAGTGTAAACATCAGTGATGACAAAGTCACTATAATCTTGGCGTTACCTGAAATATTTTTGTTAAAACAAGATTTAGTGTTGCTTTTTACTTCAGGGAAGAGCTTTATAAGCATAGCAGCAAAATATTTTGTGGCATCTAAAGGAGTAGCTCTGTCCTTAAGCAGTTCCCCTATAGGAGAAAGTAGCGAGATGGAGGATCATATATGAGAAATCTGAGAACTGTTCACCAGGCTAAAAGAAGAATATTTTTGTAAGATGAATTTGGCTGTGGGACTGGAATACTGTGTTTCCTTAAATTCATTTAAACCCTGTGGGCCAGAAAATACTACATAGTTTTAAGAATTCATACTATCCTATGTCACATGGCAAGGTGTACTGCACATGGATTCACAACTAGACACCAGTTCTTACATTCACTAAAAATTGTTTCTTAGATTTTTGTGCTATTTTGACCACATGATCTATGGTTAGACTCAAAATGAACAGAAAAGTTAATAGTGGGAGACACTAAACAGCTTACTATGAGCAGGAATTGATGAAACGGAATGGACACTCGGAACTCTAGACACTGAGCATGAGATTGTTTATGTTTTGATATTGTATTGATGTTTTAACCTGTTAATTTGCTTAAATTGTTTTGTATGTTTTGTATAATGTGATATAGGCATCAAATTGTGCCTTCGCTTGTAAGCCGCCCTGAGTCCCCCCTCGGGGGTGAGAAGGGCAGGGTAGAAGTAATTGAAATAAATAAATAAATAAATTACTATGAGTCACCCTACAACACTTGCTCAGGACAATTATTCCTACATGTCAATGTTTTGGCCCTGTTCTGAAGGCAAATATTTCATTAACCAGGTCCAGACCCATTATTGGTTCAAGCAGATCTGAAGGACAATTTGTAGAGGTTATTTGCTCACAATCTGTTGTAACACTACTATTGAAAATTCTGATGAGGGAATAATTTTGCCCCATAAAAAAAGCAATATATCATATGGAAAACCAGCCTCAGATGAACTGAGCAAAGTGTCAGTTTGCGTCATTATGTTTCTTCAAAGGAAAAGAAGAAAGATGTTTTCTGAAAAGCAAAGTAACATATTATGATTACTAATTCCAATTTACATGGTAAAGGAGAAAAGCAATGACCCAGTACCAGCCAAGCAACACACAATACCCACCAGAGACATATAAAATTGCTTTAGGGAGGAAGCAGAAAAAGAAGAGAAAAGCCAGAGCAGCTAATTAAAAAGTTTCCAGCACCCAGGACAAAACCAATTAATTAACCAGAGTATCCATAATAACATCCATATTACACTGAGAGCGAAGCCGGAAATATTAACTTAGCATAAATGAGTAATGACTCTTCATTTTTACCTCTTGCAGTTTGGAATTTGGATTGGCAGATGACAGGCAAGATATCTGGCATGCTGACTGCTGGCACATTACTACCTGCCACTCCCACTTTTTTGTTCTGCTCATTTAGTCCTATTAACAGTTACTTGGAAACTCTTTTCTCTGTCTAAAAATACCAATGTGGACTATAATTTTAAAATATTTTCTAAAATCAATAAGGTAGGAGTGGAAAAAGGTTTTAAATTGCAATTATCAAGCAAGAAAGGCTTTTTAGTCTAGAAAAAAAATATACTCAAAGGAAGAAATACAGTTATGTAGCAATTTTTCACTACATAATGAGTTGCTCACCATTAGATTTCACATGGTTTTTACCTCCTGTTATTTAGAATTCATATTATTTGAAAGATAAGAAAATACCCTATAATGGAGATCCGTCTCACACATTTTCCCCTCAAGGTCTTTCTTCCCTTGCAAGTGATGTATCAGCAACCACATACAAGCTTTGGTTAGAATCCAGAACTTGTACTCGTTTCTGTAGGCTTGCTCTTAAGTTGAATTTCTATGTAAGTCAGAACATGTACATTTTTTAAAGTGTAACACCAGCCAAATATATATATATTCTAGCATTCGAGAGCATAGTGAATGGTTAACACCCCTGTGGTGTTTGTTTCACTGTCTGTGCCCCCGATTTGAAGATTTCACCTCACTTTCTGTCCCTATGATAATTAGATTTTGAAAAAATTGTCTTGTTGTGGAAATAAAATTGGTGAGAAAGCCTCAGTGGAAACACTTTTTCTCCATGATAACGTTTTCAGAAGTGAATTTCCCTTTTCTAGGTATAGATTTCTCTCACTTTCTGTTGTCTTACTATGTAACTATGTTTGTAAGTCAGATATTCGTAACTCAGGGACTGCCTGTATATGTATAAAATTCAGAAGAAAAAAATCTCAAGAAAGGTCATCAGCTCCAAAAACTTGTTTTTACATTGAGCTATGGTGAAATAAGAAAGGGAGCCCTATTTCCCAAACCTTGGACTCCAAAGCCCTATTCTTGTGTTGAGTAGATATAATTTCTACTGAAATACAGTTTTATCTTTGTTTGTAAGTTATATGAAAAATAATTTCTCTTGATAGCAATTAACATTTTAAAAAAGCAACTATATTTCTTCTGTTATTTCTGTTTTTACTATGTCCCTGTTGCTCTAATTTTTTATTCCGTCCTTCACACCCTAACATCCACAACTTCCATGTCTTGTTCTAAGACTCTTCTAAACACTTGGTAAAGTATTACAGAAGATCATAGCATAATATATTTACTCCCTGGGTAAATCATTATCTCTGTTCACATGTTTCATGTTAGACATGAGGTTAGGAGATATAAATGAAATTCTGTAACCTCATTCAAAACATTGTCATACTTTTGACTCAACAATAAATATGACAAACAGAATTGTTAGCAAAGTCAGGCTTGTGAATTTACATAAGCCAAAATGAACATCAGACACATTCATCTATCATGCTTCAGTGTTCACTTAATTAGGAAACAGCATTGATACCATGCGGCCTCCCATTGTCCCAGTAGTACAGAAATTATAACTTGTCTGCGATAATGCACAATTCATAATACTTAGATAATGCATAATAGTTACTGAGAGATGTGTATGATTAGTTCATTAGATTACAAAAATCATCAAAACTGTTGAACAATTTGAAATGGTGGACTAATTTGAATATATATATATATATATATATATATATATATATATATATATATATATGAGACAAGAAAAAGAGATTTAAAGCTACAATATTGAAATTTTCATTTTTGTGGGGGTTGTCATTATAGTCAACACCTGTGGATTATAATTTTTAATTAGCTTTATTAAAATATAAATACATAAGTCAGTGAGAATAAATTGATGAGATATTGGACATAATGTAGAAACTAATTTTAATTTTCAAAAAATGAATTTCTTAGGACAATATAAAAATATAAAAATTAAATCAAGTTTTATTACAATCCTCAGGTGTGAAATAGTTAACCTATACATTAATATAAGGGCTTCATGAAGATTCTCCTGATGTTTCACACACATCTATTGCAGTCAACCCCAGGGGCTGTGAGGTCTGTTGGAAACTAGGAAAATGGGGAAAATGTGGGATGTCCAGGGTGGGAGAAAATACCCTTGTCTGTTGGAGGTAGGTGTGAATGTTTCAATTGGCCACCTTGATTAGCATTTAATGCCCTAGCAGTTTTCAAGGTGTGGCTTCTTACTGCCTAGGGGATTCCTTTGTTGAGAGGTGATTAGCTGTCTATGATTGTTTCTTGTCTGGAGTTCCACTGTTTTTGTAAGTTGTTCTTTGTTTACTGTTATGATTTTAGAGGTTTTTTTTAAATACTGGTAGCCAGATTTTGTTCATGTTCATGGTTTTCTCCTGTTGAAATTGTCCACATGCTTGTGGATTTCAGTGGCTTCTCTGTGTAATCTGACATGGTGGCTGTTAGAGCAGTCCAGCATTTCTGTGTTCTCAAATAATAACGGGCTCAACTATGCCATCTACACACACACACACACATTATATATAATATAATATAATATATAAACATTTATTGGGGCTCCATGCGAAACTTTTGCTTTATAAAGGGCTCTGCAGCTGAAAAAGTTTGCGATCCCCTGCTCTAGCAGATTCAAAATAACTCCTTTTACTTACACAAGACTTAACTGTTCTGATTGATTTATTGAACATGTGCATAGTGTTAGTTTTGAATAAAAGGTTGGCAGAAACATATTGAACTGCTTTTTTTGTGGTGTGGAACCCATTCCTTCCACATTATTGTTTCTTCTAGCACTAAGATTTGTGTTAAAATTGTGTCCAAGAACACTTCTGCTTCATCATCAGGTTTATCTATATCTGCTTCATAGTATTGTCATCTTGCAACTGGATTTTTGTCTCTACCTCTACCTTTCCACAGTACATAATGAGAGGAAGAGGATCAATTCTCATTGTTTTGTCCTCTGGATGCAGATTAAGAATAAAAACAAAAGGCTACCTGTCAAGGCGATATGTTGCAGTGTATAATAGAAAACTCTGGAGAGAGTTTCTTTCTTGAAAAGACTGTTTTGAGAAGGGGTAAATGTACTTGATGGATTTTCCAGAGGTTTCTAAGAAAGTGGGTTTGGGATTGGTTTTGAGAAGACATCTACACTCAATGTTATGCTTTCTGCATTATTAGCATTTCTGTAGGAAGTTGCTACTTGTTTAGTAGAAGGGGCTGCATGGCACTTTGAGTATATTCATGTTTACTATAAGAAGATTGATTGATTAGTTGATTGCTATTAAGCCTGAAATATAATTTGTGGACTACTAATGAGATGTATAAGACAGTGGAAAAGACTATAATGGAAAAATATTTGGAAATGAAAAGTAATGGGATAAGTATTGTGGTTTAATAAGAATGCACTAAAGAACATCAGAGTTCAAGAGAAGCAGTTTATTAAAGTAAGGGGGGACACAAAGAGCAAGATAACGTGAAATATAATTGATGGGGGAAATCAGAAAGCAGCCAGCATTACAAAGAAGGAGCAGTTGCTTCCTTCCTTTTATTTTGAGTTGCCATTGCAAATTGGGCCATGAAGTTTCTACAGCTCTGTCTCTGGATGTGAACAGAATATTTAAATCCAGTACCATAAAATATTTCAAGATTTAAGCTTATGGTTGACTGAAAAAGCACATTCAGTAAATCATGCTATTTTATGACTGCAGTGTTCTGTATCTCGATAGGACAATTCTTTCATATATGTCAACTGGTTTACTGAAGGGAGCAGAAGATATGTTTTTCTTTCATCTTGTTTTGCTATGTGTGGAAAGTTAATACTTCTCTGGTTTTTGCTTTGCCATTGTCTGTGCATGCACAAGTACAAGTGTGCAGACTAAACTTAACATTTCTCATTGTCTCATTCCAAATTTTACAAGTTTAAAAAGTTGCAAAAGTTAAATATTTCTGGTGAAATGTGTGTGAATAGAATACCAAATATTCCTTATTTTGTATTGTTGCATCATAACCATGGATGTAGTAGGTTGTGCCTACATGGGACAAACTATTAAAAGGAGTTAGGAATGTGTTTTATTTTAAACACTAGGTTCATAAAGTCAGTGTCCATAAAGCATTTAATTAATGAAACTCAAATGTGTATAAAAACAATTTGTTCTGATTTACAGACTCCCTTCATTTGGAAGCAGCTGCTTAATGTTCTTTTTAAAAACACAGCTTGATTCTGTCAGTATTAACAACCCATTATTGTGAGTTATGTCCTTCTTTCAGTGAATAAATTCTCTTAAAGTATATCTAGAGAAGTTTATAAAATAGAAGCTTAACATATGTTTTTAACAATGGCTGTTTCGATGGAGTTGATTGATAACTTGATTTCATACATTTGATTTCAGTTTCTTGTTTGTCCTTTATATGTGTGTTTCCCATTGAAGTTAATGATTTTGGCATCAGTTGCCTTTATCTCTTTATACTGTTGTATGAAGATGGTTTCAGATTTTAACCTTGCATTTATTAACTCTATATATTGTTTACAGCAGTATAATTCTAAATATGGAAAATCTCTGGTGAGCTTAGCAAACTGTCAAGAAAAAGAAATTCCTACTTGTTGAATCTTCGTGGACTAGAATTAATAACTCAACACAAGTGGCTATTTGCATAACACTGATATTTTGTCTATTTTGCTTGTATTGCTCCCTTTTTTCAAATAGTATAGCTTTTAGTGCTTGGTAATAATAGAGGGAGAAAAATGCTTGGACAAGCACAAATTGTCCATCACAGTTTTGCTTCATAAGACATGTTGAAAGGCAATTCAGAAAGAATGAAGTAAAATTCCTCCTTTATCTGATGGCAGAAATGCTTGTCTTTATTGTATCAGGTTGACCGCCAATCCCAGTTTATTCAAGGTTATCGGGTCATATATCGTCAGACATCAGGCCTACCTTCACCTTCTGCATGGCAGACTCTGGATGTTAAGGTTCCTACAGAGCGCAGTGCTGTCCTAGTCAATTTGAAAAAAGGAGTGACGTATGAAATAAAAGTCCGACCTTATTTCAATGAGTTTCAAGGGATGGACAGTGAATCAAAATCTGCTCGTACCACGGAAGAAGGCAAGTAAACAAAATAGCAGACACCTGTTTAGCTAAGTTGAGTGAAACCATGACCCACTTTTTCCAGTGCAAGTCTTCCATACATTTGGTCATTGGACAAACAAAACCATGTTTTATTTCAATGTTATTTCCAGAGGAAACTCCTTGATATCAAGTCCCATAAGTTGTGAGTAGAGATTAACAGTCATCTTTGAAAAAAATACACTGATACCTTTAACATTTAACTTGATCGTCAATTATGAGTAGTTAAATGAGTAACCACAATTGAGGCATAGAATTGTGAAAGGCCAGCTGGACTACGCAGAGCTCCCAAGAACCTCTAAACCAAGTGAAACAAAAGATCAAGTGATAAAACAAAATTCAGTTTTGTCTGTTACGGATTTCTAGGGAAGTACTTAGAAACAGTACATGCAGAATCATTGTATCTTCATATCAGTTTGTTCTGTGGCAAATCTGGAATTCTGGTTCTTCAGTGTCAAAAAGATGTCATAAATCTGTAGAAAATACAAAAAGGCAATAAAGAGGAAAAGCTAAAATCATTTAACAAAGGTGACCAAAGGGAGGAAAATAATAAACATGTATAGAACCAGCAATGGTATGGAAAAGGAGGTAAAGATGTCTTCCTTACGCATTACATTAGAAGTTGAGGCCAAAAAGTGAGACCAATTATGTTCTTTCATTATGTGAGGCATAATGTTATATATACCATAAGTTGTGATTGCCTAGGGTGCAAGTTTAGATTGCTTGAAAATAATTATTCAGACAAATTTGTAGGGCTATTAACTATAACACCTAGATGATATTATGGTGATAGTACTCATCTGAATACCACATATTGGGAAATTAACAACATGAGAGTTTTAGGAGATATATACATGGTAGTTGTGTAGACTGAATGAGGACTAGATGACATGGCTGTCCCCATTATTGCATGAAGCACATCTTAAACTGTACATGCTGCATGAAAATTAGGGGAAATGTGGTATCAAACAAGCAAACAGTCAACTAAAATGATGCTTGCATACCTCATTTAAATCTACAGCTCCCCAGTAATGTGTTTTGAGGCTCAAGTAGTTTTATATGATGACTGCTGTTTGGTTCTGAGCAAAGAGTTTAGGAATAACCCTGCCTATAGATATGTTAAACTCACAGGCAGTAAGCTGCTGTGTAGATTTATATAACCTTCAGCCACTCTGCTTCTTAGTGTCCCCTTCCCACAACAAATGACTGTAACAAATTGTATTGTCAACAGTTAAATGTCAAATGCTTCATTTTAAAAAAAAGGTTCTCAAAGTGTCTGTCAGTATAGCAGATTGTTTATAGGACTATGTGGAAAGAATATGGTATTCAAAAGGTATCATTCCATAAAATTTTTCTTTGGCTCTTTAATTATCTATATAATTATCTTAGGTTTATGTTTTATCAGATGTAACCTGTAGTAGATTTTATTTTAATAAATATGGTTCCCTTCTCAGAAGGAAAAGGGCAATCTTCTAAAAACTATCATATTGCATGCCTTGATGCACACTTCTACTTTGGGAAATGGCAATGTAACAAGGGGAAAAATTTGTGCTAAAAAGAAAGCTTCAGAGGTGTGATGAGAATATGCTAATGTTTTTTTTTTCCATCTTAGTATATATGTTCTTAGCAGGGCAAACATTTAAATATGAATCTAATTTCAGAAGAAATGCTTCTTCTGGGACCTAAATGGGAACAATGATTGTAACCACAGGTTTTCCCCCTTCTTTTCCTGGAGATCACACATTTGTCACAATTCTTCATCCATTCATCTCTTGCCTCTTTGGCCTTGTGAAAGTAACAAATGGAATTCTGTTTGGTTTTGTCTGGAAAAGATGAGCAGCGATTTGGGTGCTTTAATATCTGTGGGAAGGAGCTGAGCACTGGAATAATTGACCTGTCAAGAATCAGGCATGGTGTTCCCCACAAGTCAGCAGCAAGGGAAATGAGAAAATGGTTTTAAAATGTTATTTTTCAGTGTGGTCCATTTAATAACTGCAACACTCTCAGGGAAATGGTTTAATTTATATTATGGTGTCAGCTTTTACTGTGGCAATATTGTACAGATGAAGACAGAACATTCTATATTATGTGTTTCGGAGATATGTGGATATGCATATGGGCAAGCATGTAAATCAAATGAGTTTAAAAAATATCTCCAATTCTTGCCACATCAACAGATTTTAGGCAGTGTTTTTCATTAGTGCTGGACAACTTACCTGAGAGGCAGATTCCTTTGTATTCCCTAGCTCTGAATATTCACATGACGTACTGAAGATTCTTACATTGTATAAAGCAACACTATGAAGTATATACAGGAGCATTGGAATGTGCTCGATCCACATTGAATGTAGCTTTTTCCATTAGCAACATCCTCCAGTTGTGGTATTTTGACTAACTTATGAAGCTCTCAACCCTGCCAATAATTTCACTCTTGTGTGCCATTGTATATCCATGCTCACTTCTAAACTTGTAATAATGACCTGCCATCCAATGTTCAGCCCCCTTCTTAAAAACAGTTACAGATTCCCTGAAAAAGTATTTTTATTCACTTTTGCTGCCTCTATTTTGTACAGCTCCAAGTGCCCCTCCACAATCTGTTACTGTCCTCACGGTTGGAAACCACAACAGCACCAGTATCAGCATTTCATGGGATCCTCCACCACCAGACCACCAAAATGGAATAATTCAAGAATATAGGGTAAGAGTGAAATAGAAGCAGAAACAGACAACTAAAATGGCACATGCATTTCTATTGACAATAATATCTAATCTATATTCTTTTTGGTTTTAAAACTGATCTGTATGTATCATCATCCCCAACACTGCTGTGTAGTGACTCATTGTAGTGATTCACAAAATACAGAACATAACAAGTAAATAAGTTATCAAAACTTTAAACCGGTTAAAAACCAACCATAAAAACTATAATAGCACAAGAAAAATAACAGAAAATCCAGCAGATGGTACAAGGCCTGCACTGTTCTTCTTAACTATAATTTTTCTCTTACTGTAAGAAAGTTGTCAAAAACCATTTCGTTTTCTATTTCCCAAATATTATTTCCATTCCTATTACTCAATTTATCTACAAATCGAGACCAAATTACCCTTTACCAGTGCACCAGAGGCATATGGGTGGGGAAAAAAAGGAATTCATAATTAGCAGGGGAGGTAATCATGTACCTCCCAAGGGGTGGCTAATTTCCCTGCTGCCCAGTCATACCCTTAGAGGATTTTTTAGCAGTCTCTTTATTGTACTTCAGTAGTGGCAGATGTTTACAATCTGAAAGCCATTTTCACCCTGGATCTGGGATACACTGCCATCTACTGCAGCACATTTTTTGCCTGAACTTGAACTTTCTTGGGACTTTTTAAAATGTGTAGTATACCTTTAAATGCCTACTGGCGGTGTGTACTTTGGGGTGTAGGTTTTTACAGGCTATATGGCCATGTTCTAGAGGCATACTCTCCCGACGTTTCGCCTGCATCTATGGCAAGCATCCTCAGAGGTAGTGAGGTCTGTTGGAACTAGGAAAAAGGGTTTATATATCTGTGGAATGACCAGGGTGGGACAAAGGACTCTAGTCGGCTGGAGCTAGGTGTGAATGTTTCAACTGACCACCTTGATTAACAGTTGATGGCCTGGCAGTGCCTGGGGCAATCTTGTTGAGAGGTGAGTAGATTTAATTATTTAATTATTTATTTATTTCTGGTACTTCTACCCCGCCCTTCTCAACCCCCCCGGGGGGGGGGGGACTCAGGGCGGCTTACAAAAAGGCACGATTCGATGCCTACACAAGATATACATACATACAAAACAGCAGTTAAAACAATAAGCAAGTTAAAACAATCAATACATAACACAATCAATAAAACTAATATCATGTTCAGCGTTCAGAGTTCCATAGTTCTATTCCGTTTAGTCAATTCCTGTCCATCGTCAAGTCCTTTCTTTAGCTGCCAGAATGTCCAAATGCCTGGTCCCAAATCCAAGTTTTCAATTTTTTCCTAAAGGAAAGGAGGGATGTCACTGATCTAATTTCCCCAGGGAGTGAATTCCATAGGTGAGGGGCCACCACTGAGAAGGCCCTGCTCCTCGTCCCTGTCAATCTCACTTGTGATAGAGGCGGGGTCGAGAACAGGGCCTCCCCAGAAGATCTTAGACTCCGAGGTGGGACATAGAGGGAGATCCGTTCGGACAGATACACTGGGCCGGAACCATATAGGGTTTTGTAGGTCAAAACCAGCACTTTGAATTGTGCTCGGAATTGGATCGGCAGCCAATGGAGCTGACACAACAGGGGGGTGGTATGCTCCCTGTATGGCTCTCTGGTGAGCAGTCTGGCTGCCTCCCACTGGACTAGTTGGAGTTTCCAAACAGTCTTCAAAGGCAACCCCACATAGAGTGCGTTGCAGTAATCTAATCGGGATGTAACAAGAGCGTGGACCACCGTGGCCAAAGTACAGGCGCAGCTGGCGCACAAGTTTTAATTGTGCAAAAGCTCTCCTGGCCACAGCTGAGACCTGGGGTCCCAGGCTCAGCGATGAGTCCAGGATCACTCCCAAGCTGCGAACCTGCGTCTTCAGGGGAAATGTAACCCCATCTAACACAGGCTGTAACCCTATGCCCTGTTTGACCTTACGACTGACCAGTAGGACCTCTGTCTTGTCTGGATTCAATTTCAAATTGTTAGCTCTCATCCAGTCCGACACAGCAGCCAAGCACCGGTTTAGGGTCTGGACAGCCTCCTTGGTGACAGGTGGAAAGGAGTGAAAGATTTGGACATCATCTGCATAGAGATGTCCCAGATTGTTTCCTCTCTGTTGTTTTGCTGTTGTAATTTTAGAGTTTTTTTAATACTGGTAGCCAGATTTTGTTCATTTTCATGGTTTCCTCCTTTCTGTTCAAACTGTCCACATGCTTGTGGATTTCAATGGCTTCTCTGTGTAGTCTGACATGGTGGGTGTTAGAGTGGTCCAGCATTTCTGTGTTCTCAAATAATATGCTGTGTCCAGGTGCTCTGCTATGGCTGACTTCTCTGGTTGAAGTAGCCTGCAGTGCCTTTCATGTTCCTTGATTTGTATTTGGGCACTGCGTTTGGTGGTCCCTATGTAGACTTGTCCACAGCTGCATGGTATACGGTGGACTCCTGCAGAAGTAAGAGGATCCCTCTTGTCCTTTGCTGAACATAGCATTTGTTGGATTTTCTTGGTGGGTCTGTAGATCATTTGTATGTTGTGTTTCCTCATCAGCTTCCTTATGCGGTCAGTGGTTCCCTTGATGTATGGCAAGAAGACTTTTCCTCTGGATGGATCTTTGTCTTTACTCTCGTGGCTTGTTCTCGGTCTTGCAGTTCTTCTGATGTCTGAGGTGGAGTATCCATTGGCCTGTAGAGCCCAGTTTAGGTGGTTCAGTTCATCTTGGAGGAGGTGGGGTTGGCAGATTCTTTTTGCATGGTCTGCCAAGTCTTTAATGGTGTTTCTTTTTTGACTAGGGTGATGGTTGGAGTTTTTATGTAGATATCTATCTGTGTGTGTGGGTTTTCTGTAAACGGTGTGACCCAATTGTTGATCTGGTTTATGGATGACTAGAAAAGGCAGTCTTCCTTCATTTTCTTTTTCCATGGTGAATTGGATATTTGGGTGAATCATCATCATCATCATCATCATCATCATATTTAATTACTTATTAATCGCCCTCCATCCAAGATGCTCTAGGTGATTTACAAGCTAAATTGTAAAAGATAAAAATATATACATACAGAAATTAATGATCAACATAGATCAAATGCTTTAGTGAAAAGCCAGGTCTTAAGTGCTAGAGTAAAAGGCCCTAAATCACACATGGCTCTCATATAGGGAGGCAAGGAATTCCATAAGGCAGGGGCAGAAATAGAAAAAGCCCTGTGTCTGAAACTTTCCAAGTGCACTTCTCTAGGGCCTGGTATATAGAGTTGGGCTGGTCATTGCGACCTCCGATGCTGGGAGAAGAAGAGACGGTCCCTAAGGTACGATGGACCCTGACCGTAAAGAATTTTAAAGGTCAGAACTAGCATCTTATACAGACCACGGTAATCAGTTGGAAGCCAATGTAAGTGCTGTAGCACTGGTGTTATATGGCATTTCATGGGCATGAGTAACCTGGCTGCCGCATTCTGAACAATACGGAGCTTTCGGGTCATAGACATCGGAAGGCCAACATACAAGGCATTGTAATAGTCTAGCCTAGATGTGACTGTGGCATGGATGACTGTTGCCAGGGCCTCATCAGATAGGTAGGATGCGAATTGCCTCACTTGTCATAGATAGAAAAAGGCCTGTTTGCTGGCAGCAGCAACCTGAGCTTCCATTGTCAGCTGAGAATCCAAAACAACACCTAAGCTCTTAACAGTGGACGATGGAGATAGGGCAGCACCATCGAAGGTGGGTAGCAGATGAATCAGACCTGTCAGGTGGCCATGCCAGATAATCTCAGTCTTTGCTGGGTTCACCTTCAATCTACTAGCACGTAGCCAGTTCGACAGAGCCTCCAGACATAAGGTGAAGTTGTCTGGTAATGACGTTGCTCCAGGTTCCAAGCACAGAAGGAGTTGGGTGTCATCCGCATATTGGTAGCAGTTCAGGCCGAAACTTCGGACCAAACTAGCAAGAGGTCTAACGTAGATGTTGAAGAGAAGAGGGGAGAGAATTGCACCTTGGGGGACCCCACATAGAAGGGGGGATCTATCAGAGACTTGATCCATGTACTCCACGCACTGACTCCCATTTCAGAGAAATGAGTTGAACCAATTAAGGGCCTGACCGAGAACTCCGGACATGGCAAGACGGTGAATCATTAGATCATAGTCAACAGTGTCAAATGCTGCAGCAAGGTTGAGAAGTACCAGTAGCGCCGATCCGCCGCTATCAGACTGGCGATGTTCATATGTAATGGCAACCAGGACTGACTCCGTGAGTCCAAGAAAGAAGAAAAGGGGTGCATGGAGAGGTGCATGTTTCCCCAATAAAGATTGCCACCCCTACTCATTTAATGGAAGCAAAAAGGCAGGTATATTTGCACTACTTGTTAAGCATACTGTTTAGTTTTTAGGGCAGTATGAGCAATGCCTGCTATTCCAACAATATCCAATGGACTTGTATTGCTTAACAGAGAGATTAAAAAACTCTGTTGTCCCAAGTGTGTTCCTCTTAAATGACAAAATAATTAGAAAGAAATCCTTCTTGGAGATCATACAAGTTTAGGAATATGAAAAATGCTTTTATTGAGGATCTCAGTGAGTCCAAGAAAGAAGAAAAGGGGTGCATGTTTACTACCATGGAGAAAAAAAAGTAAAACCTGCTAAATCTTCGGTTCATCTCTGATGTAACAAATCTGTTGCCATTGACTGAACCCAAGCTACAAAGCAATTTCAGTTTTCCCTTTTTCCCCATATTACTATATGAAAAATGAATTCCCTCTAGGCACATGCAAAAGTTTGCATTTGCCAACTGAGGTTTATCATTTTTTCCTGACAGTCTCCCTTGCTGGTCTGAAAATAGCTTTTGAAGCTCTTCAAAGGAACTGTCATGAGACCCAGCCTTTGACGTTTTTGTACCTCAAGTAAAAAATCAAAATAAGAGGAGTACCCCCTTCCCTCCAGCATAGTAGTAGAATTCATTTTTATTTATTTTTAAATATACAGGGAAGATAGAAGAAAAAGGTAGGGAAATGGCAGCTTCTTTGGAATCTCTTACCCAAAGCAACTGCTTCATGGTACACGGAAGAGGCTGGTGAAATCAAGAATCTGTTTCATCTTTTAGTCCAAACACTAAAGGTTGTCCAAGGGCTGAATTTATCTGGGGTTACACTCAGTACCTTGGACAGCTCCTTCAGAATCTGGCTTACCTTCCTTTATCTTTAAGCAAGAGATTCACTAATCCACTGACATCAAATCCATCGATGTCTTCTAATAACAAGCATGATCTGCTTGGAGATAAAGGAAGACAAGGCATGCCATCATTGTAAAACAAAAACCAGAATCAATAGGTATTTGGACACAATTGTTACTGATATTAATCTCTGAACCAGGGAAAAACCAAATTTCTATATTCTTAATTACATTGATTAGTCTAACCCAACATTTTGAACTTGAAGAGAATAGCTTGAATTACAAATGGATGCTCTGAATAAAAAAGATTTACCATAACCTTTTCCAATTATGGAAAGATGAGTGAGAATTCTCATTGATTACTTTTCCATCTTACAGCTTCCTAATAATATTTTGCTCATTATTCTGAAGAATCTTTTAGACTGTCAAAATTTTTCATCAGAACACTAAGAACTACAGAGAGGAGGGGTTATTGCTGAAAATTCCCACTTTTTTAAACTTGCAGGATTATCTCATGCATTGAGAATCATTTCATTCAAACCTGGATTTAGTACAATGGTAATTAGTGTAAGTATAGATCTGTTAATTCTAATTTTCTGAAATCTGATTAAATATTGACAATTATATGATTCATTACAATAAAATTATATTTGTTCTTCAAGAGGTCATACTGTGCACTGTGAAAGTTGGTTTGTAAACCTTGTACTGAGATTCCATCTGAACACGAGGAAGAACTTCCTGACTGTGAGAGCCGTTCAGCAGTGGAACTCTCTGCCCCGGAGTGTGGTGGAGGCTCCTTCTTTGGAAGCTTTTAAACAGAGGCTGGATGGCCATCAGTCAGGGGTGATTTGAATGCAATATTCCTGCTTCTTGGCAGGGGGTTGGACTGGATGGCCCATGAGGTCTCTTCCAACTCTTTGATTCTATGATTCTATGAGTTAACCTGTTATATGGATAATAACAACTCTGCCATGCAGAATTTCTTTATTGTATTTTTTCCCTTCATTAGAAAAGGGATTTTTTATCAGATTCATAATGCTTTTGATATGGGTTGTGTCTCACGATGGCCATTGGTAATTTGGCTATGACTTGTATTTTATTTATATTTGTGTAAACTGAATTTAACAGCAATTGTACACATGGAATCTCTCTCTCACTTTCCCATATGCTCTGTTTCTCTCACACATACAAACACCTTAATGATTAAAATGTATGCATGTTTTTAGGAATCATGGAGAGGTATTTTCTCCTTTTGTCATCTGAATGCATAAAACTATTCCCAGTGGTTCCAATATACAAGCAGATATCATACCATGACTTGATTATTTTTTCATAAAAAATAGAATCACTCTGTTATATATGTTATATATGTTATATATGTTGCTACTTGGATTGCAATTGAAATAAATTGTGCTTCATTTAATATTTTAAAAAGAGCTCCACAAGTTTGTTCAGGGTGTCTGTTCTGAATACGTGGGTGAAATTAATGACCAAATCAATTATTACATTTCAGAAATTGGTAAATAATATCCCTTTCACTGTATAGGAGTATTTTCAAAAGGTGTACCTTCACTTATTTGCTGGTAGTTGGGTTCAAACAGTGCTGAATAATATTAGAAAACCGCAACTCTTTCCCAGCTACCTGTTCTAGGTATTTCTCAGCCATTATGATAAATACCTAACTCTCCACCTAAGTTCCTGAAAAACTTAGTGTTTACTGTCAGAAGTTGTGGGGTCATTTTTCCCTATAGTGAAATAACAAGCAAACATGAAAGAAAGAAAGAAAGAAAGAAAGAAAGAAAGAAAGAAAGAAAGAAAGAAAGAAAGAAAGAAAGAAAGGAACATGCTATGTCATGAAATACTATATGTCATTTTTGCCCTCCAAGATAGTGTTAAAACAGCAATTTGTCTGATTTCACAATAGAATGCCTTGATGTCACTCACTACAGATGGTATTTAGTCATGTTAGTACCCCATATATTAACAAGACCCTGAATGCTTTATAACTTTCCATCCCTGTAACTCAGCAAAAGTGTGTGTATATATTTACCATAGGTTAGAAATGGATATAAAAGTTGATCTCATGTACAGAAATCACCTAATATATTTAATGCCCCTTCCATTTCAGTAGGATTTTCCAACCATATATAGAGGTCACATATAGGTTGTCAAAAGGAAAAAGTCTACTACAGCAAGTGTAGTTGTGGATGCTGACCAATATCTATTGAAAACTTGGGGGTTAACTTCATTATATAACCAGTGTGTCAGTTATTCTAGTTAGATCTTTAAAGTCATATGTGGCTTGATATTTAATTTCTCAGCGATAGTTTCTTGGAACCATGAAGGAATATTTTACTGGGGTTCATGGAAATACAAATAATGGAATGGTCAGATTTCTCTATTTCTTAGTTTCACATCTGAAATGCTTACTGAAACCTTTCTTTCCTGAACCATTCAAGGAAAAGCTTGCCTGGATTTTTGTGTGTTTTCTATCTTTTCATAAATCTGAATCACTGTATTAATTTGAATTCTTAATTGAAAAAATCCATACAAAAATGTATTCATATAATTTATTATTATAAAATTGCTAATATTACTAAGTAACCTAAAAAAGCGGGAAATATACTGTGTTCTTTTTTGTGTGCTGAAAATTGTTGTAAACAATTGTTTCTATATTTCAGATCTGGTGCTTGGGCAATGAAACCAAATTTCATATAAACAAGACTGTAGATGCAGCAATTAGATCTGTGGTAATTGGAGGCCTGTATCCAGGTATTCAGTACAGAGTAGAAGTTGCAGCAAGTACCAGTGCTGGTGTTGGAGTGAAAAGTGAACCACAACCCATAATAATTGGCAAGTAAAACACACAGCTTGCTGTTATGATTTGCACCTTTAACATAGTATGATATCTTTCACACACTACATTAAAAATACACTTTCTACATTATGTGCTGGATGTCTGTTTCTTTTTAGAAAAAAGTCAACATGATGAAAGTGAAATAGCTCTTATTTTCTTGAAACATATTAAAACATGTATTATTTTCTTAAAGTAATGCTGCATTATGAATTTATCACTTGAGCAGTTTGAGAGATTTATAAAATAGCTAACTGAAGTGTTGTTCTCTGCCTGCTAAGATTGCTGGATCATTTCCTTATTTATGCTACTGATGCCCAAGGCCATGTTTAAAGTTGTCTGAGCATTTGCGGTTCAGTGTTTATCAGCTATTCTAAGCAGATGGTGCTTTCAGTCTTATGCCAAAGCACAAAAGTCTTGAGTCAAAACAGAGAAAAGCTGGAAATATCATTTCCTTCCTTTGAAATGTCTGTTTTTTATTAGTTTCCATACCGAATTAGTTTCATAACCTGAGGCAAGCCTAGAACCTTACTCTTCTGAAATACATCTAAAGCATAAATGGGTGGATCGACAGGAACAACAAAGCATAGAAATGTGTGGCTCATTTCTATTCAACTATGTGTTAAATTGCTGTGGAAATAATTACAATAGAAATTGTTTTAAATGAGGACCAGTCTGTACCTTCAAAATAATCAAATGGCATGAGCATTCTATGAAATAAAGAATGGAGTTTCACATTTAATCTTTTCCTCATTTTGTACTGTATGGAACATCATTTATCCAAGATTTCAAAATCCAAAATACTCTAAAATTGCTCACATTTTGAGATAGTGACACCTTTGCTTTCTGATGGTTCAGTGTACAAAATTGTTTTTAAAATATTGTGTAATTTTACCATCAATATTTCATTATGTTTATTGTGTTTGTTATGTTTGTTAAGTTGATTTATACCCTGCTTTTTCCCTCCACAAGGAGACTCAGGCCACTTCCAAACAGCATTTAAATGCACACCGAAGCGGATTTAAGAAACATGCTTAGGTGCACATTTAAACCCCTAGAGGGGTGTCTAGATGTCCTCCTGGTACCTTCTGGATGGGCATCCAGACACCCCCAACCCCAACCCCCCAGCCTATAAAATTGAAAGTGCTTACCCAGCTGTCATTAAAGTACTTTTGGACTCCTCCTAGTGCAAAGAAATGATGTGCCAGGAGATGGGGGAGGGGAGTGAGTATCAATTTTTCTCCTCACCCTCCCACCTCCTAGAACATCATTTCTACATGTCAGGAAGACTCCAGAAATGCTTTAATGGTAGCTTGGTGTGTTCTTTTAATTTTTACAGGCTTCTTTGGAGGATTTTGGGGAGGAAGTTGGTGCCCTCTGTATTTTCCAGGCTCATTGAGCTCAAAAAGCATGAGAGGGCTGTGTGGGTTGGGCCTGGGGCTCGTGTGATCTGATCCACACTGGGCCCATACCTGGAAAGACCTGGATTTTATCAAAGATCCAGGTCTTACAGGTCATCAAATTAACTTGGAACAAAGCTGGGTTTCCCTGCTTTGTCTGGAATTATTTTGCTTTTAATTCAATTAATTCAGTTTTACCAGAACATTATTTTGACATCTCTGGTAAAAGCGTGCAAACTCATGTGGTTTGGGCTCTGTCTTGATGGACCCTCAGTATATGCAGATAAGGTATATATAGCATATAAATGAATCTCATGTTCAGACTTGGGTCCCAGTTCCAAGATACCTCATTATGTGTGTATCTGGAAACACAGGCATTCCAAAACATTTCAAGTCTCATGCATTTTGATAAGGGGAACTCAACCTATGCTCACATAAACAATTAATGGATTATAGAGATAAATCCCCTTTTAAAAAAACAGAGACAAGAAGATGGAGATGAATGAAAATAAAATTACCAAGACAGAAGGCATCAGGTACCACCATATTCTTCCAGATGGAAAGTTTTAAGAAAGAAGCTGCTAGGTTAAAGCACACTCTAAGAGCATACCTATGATTTGTAAGCAGGACAGCAACAGGCTCTCAAAAGTAGTGGGCATTTTAAAGAGAAAAAGCAATGTAGAATCAAAAAGCATTGGGGAGAGACAGAGCGAGGGAGAGGAGAAAAGATATAACTTGATATGGAATGTCCTTCTGTTAATTCACTCAACAGCTATCCTATGTATAGAGCTGATCAGTGGTGTAATAATATGGAAAACAGCTGTAAACTTTCACAGGTGCAATTGAATGTGATCTGTCTAATTAATTCTGGTCCAGCAAATTAGTATTGTTCTTCATCACTTTCCAATAGGAGGGGCATTATATTTCATTATACCTTTGTCTGCAGAAACAGTGGAGCATTGCTGGTTGCACACCTCCTTTGTCTACGATCTAATTAGCTGAACAGACAGGATTGTTATGGAAGCACCTGCAATATATAAAGCAGCACAACGATAGCTAGCCTGATATATGTGTGTGTGTTCATATGCATGTGTATTCTGATTAAATATAATGAAATGAAATTAATGCCACCTTTCTCCAAATCGTAACACTTACATTAATTCTGTTGAACATCAATGGGAAGTGTACATCCATATTCATTTATGTTCAGCTGCTGAAATCACAAAGCATATGTTATTCTGACATTTAAATGAATTATTACTTTTGCACATGTAATTGCAAGGCACTGAAGGGGAGAACAAGCTGCCAAGCTGCTAACTTAAAAGTACATTGACCTAATTTGGAAGCCAGCCTTTCTGACGAAGAGCCTTCAGGGGACTTTGGAACCCTCTGAAAACTCCCTTGGAGGGCTGTTTTTGGCGGGGAGGAGCCCTGTTCCACATTAAGTGAAAAGGGATTCTAACTTCATAGTAGATGCAGCTGCTGCGATATTAAGATGCAGGGTGCACAGGGAATAAAATGCCATTCCATCACCTGCCTAGCATAGATTCAGGCTAGAGGAATAAGAACAAGTAATGAAAAATAAAGCTGATCTTACCTATAGCCACAGTCACAATTCAGGAAGCTGTCAGGAGGAATGAAATGCATTCTACAGAGTGGACACTGCAAATTATAGCAATGCCTTGGTTTATGCCATGTCATTCCCCTGGGTTTCAAGTATTTTATTCTGTCACATACCATAAGCAGCGACTGATTTCCTTGTGTGAACAGAAAGGCCTCAGAAACGTTTGATGGATTTACACCAGCAAAGTGCTATTTGAAAGCTGATGACATCCAGAGAGTGCTGTACCTTTGTTGAATGAAACATTTGGCTCATTTTAAAATTTCAGTTCAACTCTTCCAGTGGTTTTTTAGCTACCTATTCCACCAAAGTAATTATATCTAGGCCAAACCTTAGGTTCCATACCTTGGAAACCCCACAGAAGGGTATTAGACTGAAACAGAAATATATTTACTTATTCATGGTGTATGAATGTCCTGGCATTATAAGAGAAGTATAAACTTCATCACTAATCTAGTTAGTTTAGAAATTAGTACAATAACATTTGACAATTTTGACCAAGAAATTTACAATTAAACTCTAAGCTCTATTTTTATTGCTGTATGATTTACAGGCTGAATTGGAGAGTAAACCAGTTTACTGATTTGATTGGCTTGGCCAATGAAAATAAGAAATGTTGAAGATGCACTTTACATTCCTTATTTTGCAAATAGCAATACCAGTTATCAGAGAGAATAAGCATTTCTGCCTAAAACTAATATTGAGCAAACACTGGCCAAAATTTCTTGAGTCCATTGCCTACTGTACCTTAAAATCATTAGGCATGATTTTTGAGTTATAATAAATTGTATAGATATGAGTATTGTGTCTCACATTGGTAAGGTCTTACCTACTTGAAATAGGCTTCTTTGAAACAGTGCTGTTTCTTCCTGGACTACCATGCAAACCATCATATATGTTTCAATATTCCCTTTTTCATTATTTATCAACATAATGGTCTTTTGGTTTAGTGTAAGTTACTTACCTTCCCATTTTAAAGAGTTTAGTTCCCTTCATGGAGGCTTTACACTGGAAATCTTCTATCATACCAGCAGCTTGTAGTTTGAAGTCAGTCTTTTGCTTGGATATAAGACGACCCTGATTTCTACACATGTATGGATACTAAACAAGTAGTCACATTGCCATGTGCCATCTCAAGACATTTCATCCAAAGCTTTGTGGGTTTTCTGGCTCTCCATCCCCCATTTTACCTTTTTAAAATTGCCTCTCATTCTTTGCAAAATCTTTTATTTTTCAAAAAGGAAGGTTGGAAGCATTTTGGAGATAATATTCCATAAAGTAGGATTATAGTCTAATGCACCATGCAACCTACATCCTGCTATTTCACACATGAAAGATGCTAATAGGAAAAGCAAAGGCAGCTATAAAATCCATATCCTTATTGCAGCCAAGCAAGAAGAGTACAAAATGTGTGCAAGTTGCCAACTCCCAATGTTCCTTTTGAGACGCTGATAACAGTACAAGATTTCTCTTTCTCTCTCTCTCTTGGTAGATGTGTATAAATGTATCTTTTGTGAAGTAATAGGACATGTATCAAATACCTCATCTAAAAAGCTTCTGGAAAGTAAATTACAAAGTGTGGGGCACCAAAAATGACGTTTACTAGTGATTAACTAGCTCAAAAAATTAGACTGCTTTCCAGGATTTTTCTGTGAGTGCAAACAGTACGGTAATCATTAAAGTGTCTAATCCCAAAAATAAACTCTTTCTCATACAAATTAATCCTGCATTTTGGAGCAAGCTAGTAACTGCAAAGCTTTTTGAAATGATGCAATTTACAGTCCTTTGATGTGGAACGAGCTGTATTCCCACAATTTATTGAAATATAGTTGTCACGACATCAGACTCTTGAATCCCTTTAGGTAATTCAGTATTGTATAATGAATAATTTGTATAATGATTAATTTACCCAAGAAAATGTTGCTTCAATTAATTTATCTTGTATTTCTGGTTGTAGAGAGTGTGTGAAAGTGATGACCACAGTTTAAGCAGTTGAAATGTTACATACAACAATCAAAAATTCCTCTCTTGTTGAAGGATACATCACTATTAGGCTTGTTTGATCCAAAAACAATGGTTCAAAACTCGTTTCGGATGGTGGTTCAGATCTAAAGTCAATTCCGATTTTAACAGAAAAAAAGTTTGAAGTTTTCAAAACTTCTGAGACCTCCGAATCCTTTGTTAATGGTTTCAAAGTGTTATTTCCTGTTTCATTGGGTGGTCTTTACTTTGAAAATAGATGTTTTACTCCAGAAAAGGGGAGGGGGATAGCAAAGGGAAGAAATCCATCCACGCTGGTTAAAACCACTGGGAAAGAAAAGGAATCCATCCACAGTTGTTTAAACTGAGGTGGCAGAGAAAGGAGAGGAAAGGAATCCATCCACACTGGTTTAAACTGATGTGGATCCATCCCATCCACAGTGGTATAAACTGATGTGGGAGAGAAAGGAGAGGAAAGGACTCCATCCACACTGGTTTAAACTAATGCAGATCCATCCCATTCACACCGGTTTAAACTGATGCAGATCCATCTCATTTACAGTGGTTTAAACTGATGCAGATCCATCCCATCCACACTGATTTGAACTGACGCGGATCCATCTCATCCATACTGGTTAAAACTGATGCAGATCCATCCCATCCACACTGGTTTAAACTGATGCAGGTCCATCCCATCCACACTGGTTAAAATGGACAGGGGAGTGGGGAGAGGAAAGGAATCTATCCACACTGGTTTAAACTGACACAGATCCATCCCATCCACAGTGGTTTAAACTGATGCAGATCCATCCTATCCACACTGGTTTAAACTGACACGGGAGAGAAAGGAGAGGACAGGAACCCATCCACACTGGTTTAAACTGATACAGATCCAACTCATCCACAGTGGTTTAAACCGATGCAGATCCATCCCATCCACACTGGTTTAAACTGATGCGGATCCATCCTATCCACACTGGTTTAAACTGATGCAGATCCATCCCATCCACAGTGGTTTAAACTGATGCAGATCCATCCCATCCACACTGGTTTAAACTGACATGGGAGAGAAAGGAGAGGAAACGAACCCATCCACACTGGTTTAAACTGATGCAGGTCCATCCCACCCACAGTGGTTTAAACTGATGCAGATCCATCCCATCCACAGTGGTTTAAACCAATGCAGATCCTTCCCATCCACACTGGTTTAAACTGACACAGATCCATCCCATCCACAGTGGTTTAAACTGACGCAGATCCATCCCACCCACAGTGGTTTAAACTGCAGATCCATCCCATCCACAGTGGTTTAAACTGATGCAGATCCATCCCATCCACAGTGGTTTAAACTGACGCAGATCCATCCCACCCACAGTGGTTTAAACTGACGCGGATCCATCTTATCCACACTAGTTTAAACTGATGCGGATACATCCCATCCACACTGGTTTAAACTGACACGGGAGAGAAATGAAAGGAAAGGTATCCATCCACACTGGTTTAAACTGATGTTTTTCCTGCTGTTTTTCTCCCTTCCCTTCTCCTCTTTCCTTATCTCTCTTCCTTTCCCCTTTCCTTTTCTCCTCCAAATCCTGGCCCGTTCAGGAAAACACAGAGTTTTCTCTCCCAGGAAACTCAAGTTACTAAGTGAGTTTCCAAGGACATATGTACTTCTCTCCCCTCCCCCCTTTTTTTTCTTTAAATCTCACTTGGCCACATTGCCTTTATTCCTTCAGTTCAATTTATTTTGTCAGTTCCCAGAAAAAAAATGTATGCCACTTTTAACATACCTGGGGAACCTAGTAAAATGCCCCCCCCCCATGTTTTCCTGAACGGGCTGGATTTAGAGGAGAAAAGGAAAGGGGAAAGGAAGAGAGATAAGGAAAGTGGAGAAAGGGAAGGGAGAAAACAGCAGAAATAACAGACAGGCAAGAACAGTGTATGATCTAGCCAATGAATGGTTTTCCTTTCTGTTTCTTCTTGGCGAAATGGAGATGCGCGGCTGCAGTGAAGCCTCACTAAATTAGGAGATTTCTAGTTTCCAAAATAACAATGTGTAAACCCAGGCAGAGAAAGGAAGGCTGCAAACTTTTATGGTCTGGTTCCCCAAGGAAAGTAGTAGTTCCCAACCCTGTTGTTCCTTTGCTAAGCGGTGCTGTGGCACCTTTCCCACCCAAGCAGCCTGCCCTAGTCCTTTTCCTTTCACATCCCTGGCTGGAGCCTTGCAGAAACCCTGCCCCTCCCCACATGGTTTCCCCTCATTGGCTGGAGGCAAGCATCCCAGCATGCAAGCTGCTGCTTGCTTCCAAACCCTGGATCTTTTCCGAATCACTTCCTGAGTTGTGGTGACAGTGGCTTTGAAATGGCAAGGATACTTCCAAGTTCCCAAATCGCTTTGAAATCACTTTAATCACTCTGAATTTAATCCAAATTATGAAGATTCAAGCTGGATCTAACCATGCCTAATCACTATCTTGGTTTCCCCTACTATTGCATCTAGTTCAATGGTCCTATTCTGCTTCTGGGTGAATTATGCATTAATTCAACTCTTGCCTTCCACCCACAAATTTAAAAGCCAAAAAAGTGGGTAGGGATCTAGTTCTTTCCAAAACAAGGTCATCCAGCAAATGCCTTATGCTGCATATTATTTGTTTTGCTCATTAGGAGATCTATAACTGTCATATGATTAATTTGCACTCTGGAGGCATAATTTCTTTCTCAACTAGAATGAATTACCTCTTTTCTGTATGCTTTATAGCAAGATGAAAGCTATCAAAGATGGCTCACATTAGTATTTCTTTCTTTTTTAGTTCAGTAATGCTCCAATTAATTTTAATTAATAAAATAAAAATAATTCTAGCCATCTTACATCATTAGAAAGTTTACCATATATTTGCTTGGATCATACATCCTTTGTTAAAGAGAGGGAGAGGAAGTGAATGTAGAATGTACTCTGTTACATTGACACAAGGAAATCTAGGAATTTCAGAATGCAGGTTGAGTATCCCTGATCCAGAAATCAGTAATATTCCCAAATCCAATATTGTCCAAGTGGTGTCTGTGGTAATGACACCTTTTTTTTTTTGATGGTTAAATATACACAGACTTTGTTTCATGCACAAAATTATTAAAAATATTTAATAAGATTACTTTTAGGCTATGTGTATAGGATGTATATGAAATACTAATTAATTTCATGTTTAGTCTGAAGTCCAATCTCTCCATTATGTATATAGAAATATTCCAATATCCAAAAAAAATCCAAACTATGGAATACTCTGGTCCCAAGAATTTTGGATAAGGGATACTCATCCTGTACTATAGAGTAAACACTGCCATTAGAATAGTTGATGAATCCCATTCTCTACCTGTATCCACCTCACCACACAGGCTGATTTGCTCATCATATGCTGCTTCATCTCCATTTTCAGTATGGAGACTTCATATAACTCACAGGCACGTAGGCTCAGTGCTGAAAAGGGAGAGGAATCACACACATCGTTGCAGCAACACTGGAACCTTCTGATATTGCTTCACCAGCAATGGGAGGAAGCCAGGCAGTGACACTTCCCCCACAGAATGAGGGGCATGGTAGGGAGGGTGATGCTGGGCATGATGTGTCAGGTTCTCCAAGCCATCCACTGGGAGCCCATGCATTCATCCCAATGTAAGGCGAATCCATGGAACTTTATGATTATGTCATATGTCTCATTCTGTACAATCTATGTCAAACGTAGTCACATTCTGTTCTCTTCAGCATGATCAGGGGACAGGAAGTATAGTTATTAAATCTGTCTCTGACTGAAGTATTTGCTGAATAATAAATTAAGCACATTCATGCAAGAAAAATGCCATGAAGCATACTGTGGATGACAACTGGATATGCATACGTTATGTATACCCAGTACACAAAATCCACCAGACTGATAAAACATTGAATTCTTCGATATCTCTACTTCTTTTCTTTGTGGATTTTATTTTCCTTATCAATGAAACTATAGGCAAGAGTTTCACCATATCTTACCTACAATTTGCCAAAGACCAGTAAAAAATGTTGAGCTGTTGATAATTTCTATTTGTTGCCATACTTAGGATCTTTAAAATAATTATCTTGTCTTCCAGCATTTCTAATACTCTTTGATATTATCTTTTTTAAAAATCTCCCTAGGAGGTCGTAATGAAGTTGTTATAACAGAAAACAACAACAGCATAACCGAACAAATCACAGATGTTGTCAAGCAACCTGCCTTTATAGCTGGAATTGGTGGTGCATGTTGGGTAATACTCATGGGTTTCAGCATCTGGCTGTACTGGCGCAGAAAGAAAAGGAAGGGGCTCAGCAATTATGCAGGTAAGAATAGGAATTATTCTGTAATTGTTTGATGTTCAACAAAAACATGGCTAGTTCAGGGCATACTGTATGCTTGCTCAGTTGGGTGCAAAAGAACAGGGAGATTAAGAGCTTTGGGCCATTGCTCTGTAATACATTTCATCATTGCTACAGGGCATTATTTAATATTCTCATAATCAGTACATCTGATATAAAATACCTAAGAATTTTTGATTTTACTTTACATTGAGGTTATTTTGTTGAAGGCAAAATATCAATATGACAGAGGGCCCTAATACCAACATTACACTTGCAAAAGTGAATAAGAAAGTGTGCGACTAAATTGGGAGTTTTTAAACTAAACTAACTGAAGACTAATGTTTCATATGAACAAATGGATTTTAAGGTACTCACGACTGATTTCTTCCATTGGTTTTCATCAGGCAGTCATGACTAAATGTAGCTTACATGAGAAAAAAATGTTTTGGTGCCTAGAAGTAAATGTAATTAGTAGGGCTGTCCAAACACGGAAAAATTTGTTTCTAAACTCGATTCGTTTTTAGGGGTTTTTTGCGTTTCGTTATTTAAAAGAATTCCGAAATTTTCCTTTAAAAAAGTTCGATATTTACGAAATTTCGGAAATCATAAAACAATTACGAAACAATTATGAATCGATTACGAATCGATTCGTTAATGGCGGCCGCGATCGCGCAATACGCTAAAAAAACTTCTGAAGCTTCCCTCTCCCTCTGTTGTTGACTGTTGGTGTGATAATTATATTTTTTTTCACTGAGAAAACAAACAGCAACCCTAAAACTTGCACCAGACATGCGGAAATAATAACGAAACATTTAAGAATCAATAACGAATCAATAATGAAACAATTACGAAACAATTACGAAACGAATTGGAAAAATTCGTTTCGTTTTTTAGTTGCTCCTGAATGGTTCAATATCGCTTCATTATAAAAAAAATAACGAATTTTTAACAAATTACGAAATTACGAAACGAAACCGCCCAGCCCTGGTAATTAGTCACTTACAGCAAGGTGATTTTAGATCTTGAAAAGAGGGGAAAGAATGTAGAAAATTTAGCTATTGGGAATTATATTCCCACACAGTAGAGTTTATTCAAGAAAACAGTAATAGTTATTTTACTTAGAATTAATTCACATTGTATGATCACATTGTGATCCAAAGTTATTTGGGAATAAAACTATGTATTCATTTTTTAAAAACACAATTGTAATTTTGGTGAGACTTCCTGATTAGCTGCATTTTCTGGTTTTTGAAACCTCTGAACCCTTTGGTTTTCTCTGTGTTCCATTATTTTTGATCACATAAAGTTGTGTGCCCATGTAGCCTGTACAGTATAGATGAATATAGGCAAGGGGCATATGTTGATCAAAGATGGAGCAGCAAGGGAATTCTGGTCACGTGTTGAGGATTTCGTGATCAAGAAGAATGCTGAGAAAAGCCAATATGTGCCTAGGAAATGTTTCTCTTGTTTAGTGACTATTTGAATTACACCCCTTATTTAAACAATAACCACACTTTGTAGCTAGTTTTTAATCAACACAAAAGAAAAAACAACAACTGTATAGTCTGTTAGGGAGGCTAAACTTATATGACCATGTATCACACAGCAATTGAATAAGAATATTAACATTGATTTGTTAATTTCTATAGAATGTGGCCATCAGTTTTGGAACTTTATTATTTCTAAAGAAGAAAAATATCTAAGAAACCTTTAAATTTTAAACAGAATTGCATTTGGCTATATCATTCACAAATCTGACTTTAGATTCCTGTTGTCTTTTTAGTAGTTCTGTACCGTGAACCATGGTTGTAAAGCTACATTATTCATAGACTGTGCTGCTTCACATATTTTCTCTCTTTTCCATTAGGTATATAATAATGATAGTTTCTGTTTTTTTCTGATTTTTTAAAACAAATCATCAACTTTGTTTAGAAGCTAAGATATGGCAAGGTCACTGACATTGAAAGCTGTCATGCTTGTTACCATCTTATTGGATGCCTTCATAATCAAAACATTCAGGGTTTAGGAGTTTCAATCCATAATGTTAGGCTTTCATAAGCATCAGATGTGCTAAATACATAACATGTTTAGTCCTTTTCGTGCTAATGAAATGATTCATATTATCAACTGTTTGGTCTTGGTGTTATGAAAGACAGCATGTTTGGGGAAATGGTCTTGCATTGTCTAACAATGTGCAATTTTAACATATATGTAAGTATGTGTACAATGTATATTAAAATGTGTAGGAGATATAGTTTTTAGCTGCCAATCGTATGTCATTGGTCAGCAGCAAATATTATGAAAAATAGATGTTAATTTACCCAGATACTTACGTATATGAAATTTACATTCATGACATGTTAAGACATCTGGCTGACTTGAAAAATGTTGCATTTGCTTGAAAGTGGGACGTTCATAAGAAGTTACATTTCGGAGCTGATCATACCATCTATGGGGGCAATTGCATGTCTTTCTACTATTAAATATAATTGTCAATTGTTTCTATTCACCTCGTTCAATCCTTTATTCCTCATGGGCTGTTGGCTGACTCTTGCTTAAAGCTCAGTTGCTAGAATTTGCACATGATTAAATAATATGCATAAGTCAGTTTTGAAGGACTCTCACCCCCTATAACTCACACTTCTTAGCAAGGTTTGTAACTCATTATGTATTTACTTTTCTTGTTTTGCAGTTCAGTCCTTCACCTTCACCCCAGCAGGTACTGTCCATTAGTCTGTCTCTTACCCCAACAACATGCAAATTAAGTATATAGTGGTTAAATCCTGTCCAATCATTCAGATTACACAAAGCCTACGGGCAAGAAGAAGCACTCTGTGCATCAGTTTTCAAAATTGGCATTGACCTTATCTATTTCAGCAAAAAGCTAGAATTAATATATCTTTACTTTTAGTTCTATACAGTAGATTTTCAGGTTTTTAAAAATCTTTTTTAGTTTTGTTTTGAAAACAAGTTATTGGGCATTCATTAATGCATAATAATTATTTCATGGGAAACCATAATGAAAATGGATATATATATATTACACATAAAATCTCAAAGATAATTTAAAAAATTTTTTTTAAAAGACTTTGCTTCCTACTCTCTGTGGATTCCATTTGGTCTTAAATATATGCAAGACATAGTCTATTCCCATATTTTCCCAGTACAAACTGAGTATGTAACACATACATGTAACAACTTATTCTGTTACATCAAATCCACAGAAATATAGTGTTAGAGTAAACAAAAATATTTGTAAAGCGCGAACTGAAAATTACTTCCTGCATATAGTTTCTATAGCAGATCTAACATACGGTACACAATTATAGTAAAGGCTAATTAAGTTGTGTGAAAAATAAATGAACTGTGGCTGAAGTGGCAGATTGTAAACAGTCAACCCACATATGTGAGGACAAAGAAAACAATAGATAAACAGACACAGTTGAGACATTTTTTTTTCTTTTCCCCATTTTTTACCTGTTCCTTCTCCACTTTGAGCAGGCAAACTCCACAAAGTGGACATTTCTCGTCCATTTTAATACTTAGTCTCTAAATTAGGATATTGGTACTAAATATTTATTTATGTTTGATATTTGTAAGCACCATGCAGAAAAACTTACAATACCTTTAACATTTTCATTCAGTAACAAAACCAAAAAAGCAAGATGAGCAGTCAAATTAAAAAAAAATAAAACATGAAAGGAAAAACCAGCTGAAAGAAATCAGTCATCACCAAGAGAAAAACAGAAGGGAGTGTGAAACTGCACAAAATCTGTGAATGGTGACCTTCATACAGGGAGATATAGATAGAGATGGGCCAAAAGTGTCCTGGCTTCCTATGCCATTTAATGTTTTAAATACAGTAGCCAACATTTTCAATTATGCCCAGGAGACAAACCATGTTTGTCACTGGCCAACATCATTACATAATCCCACAAGGAAGTCCCATCAATAGCTTTGATGCAGAATTCTGAATTAACTGAAGCTTCTATAAGGTAGAACCATATTGGTTGCATTGTGGCAACTGAAGCTAGATATAATGAAGGCATGCGCTTCTGTGACCAGATTCTGTTCTCTAGAGAAACAGATGCAGCTAAAGCACCCATCTAAGGTGACCAAAGTTACTCCTGATCACAGCTGCCACCTGATCATCCAGATATAAAACCAAGCACATTCCCAAAGCATGAACTCATTTCTTTAAGGATAGTGTTACCCTATCCAAATGTTGAAGTTGTATTCCATCTTCTTCCTGATCAGGAACAGATCTGTCTTGCCCAGATTAAGCCGCTATTTTTTTTTTAGTTCTTATCCTGCCCCATTAATGCCTCCATGTAGTTCTTACGTATCATGAGAGACAAGATCAACTATGCAGAACTGGCCAAGTCACTGAACACACATATAATTATTAGATATCAGCATCATCTTATGGAACCAATCTTCAAAGAAGCACCACAGCCAATACAAAATGGTGCCTCCAAATGCATGTGTCAAGTTGTAGGAAGAGAGGAAATCTAACTTAAACCCTATTTCTTCTGTCCTTAGTGCTGCCACCAAATGGGTGTCTTTATTCTCTGGTGCCTCCACTAAATAGTCTTGGTGGTGATCTAGTACTCAAATGTGCAATAAAATAACAAGTCCTCAATGAATGCTATTCCAAAGGAAACTTTTTTTTGCTTAAATATGTAGTAGGCAAAAAAATAAATAAGATTCCAGACAATGAATGAAAATTCAGTTTTTTCAAACGGTATTAACTATAAGCACAAATAAAAAATATGCAAAAAATAATACACACATCTAAAACAGTCAATGCACATCTATAAAACAGATTCTTGCCTTCTTAGAACATCTACCACAGACATGCCTTTTTCTGATTTCAGTTCTAATTCTCAAACTCCTTCTTCCCCAGTTCCACAATCTCATTTATTCCACTCCACAAACCCAATTTATTTATTATTTATTTGGTTTACTTTTACCCCGCCCTTCTCACCCCGAAGGGGACTCAGGGCGGCTTACACATCCAAGGCACAATTCGATGCCCGTACCATACAACAGCAATAAAACAGAATAGCACAAATTAGCAATCGACAACAATACATTACATCTATACCCGCTAAAACCAATAAAACCAATAAAAATTTCATACAAACCGATACAAACCAATTACTCCTTATTGCCGGTCACTGTTCGCTATCTCATAGTTCAGAGTTTCCTTCCACATTTATCAGTCCTGCCGGTCCTATTTGTCTGGTTGTCCTTACCTAGTTAGCAGATTGCCCGAAGGCCTGGTCCCACAACCACGTCTTTACTTTCCTCCTGAAGGACAGGAGTGATGTCGATGCCCTGATATCCAATGGAAACCCAACTTTCCAATGTCAGAATTTTCAATATTTCTCCCATTATTTTTATCTCTCACAGACACATCTTCACACTATTTTCCATCCCTCTGAAGCTTTGCATGCCAAACCACTTCTTTTTTTTTGAACAGGAGATGAGCCAGAAATCATTTCTGGATGCTGTTTGGGACTCAAAAGTGTGGGTGGGCAGAGACATTAAAATCAACAGAAGTTTTCTGGGACATGATTATCAATTTGTTGGCCACTAAGGGGCACCAGTGGTTAAACTGATGGCCTTGCCAATTAGCCCCTTTTGGAGCCAGTTAGAAATATGAAGACTTGTGTAGGTTCTATTTCTTTAGAAATGCCAAAAACCTAGGGTGAACTTTTCAGCTATCTGAAGTGCCTCTTTTAAATGCTAGAATCTTTGGCTGGACTGTTAGCTCTCCTGCAAACACATTTTCCCTAAAAGCTAAATTCACAGGCACAACATCCAAACTCACTAAACAGCTGCTAAGACCAGAAAGCAAACATTTTCTAACCCAATACAAGTGACTGAATGCTTAGTTTGTTCACAGAGACACAATGCTCATCCAGTTCCTGTCATTTAATATCTATTTGCCCAGGTTAATAATGGGAATTTTGTGTGCAATGACAGGACTCCCATGTTATAGATTAATTCTGCCAATACTTGTTGTGCTAGTATATGATTACTTCAGCATATGCAGGAATGATGCAAACTGTCAAGCACACTATATTGATGAAAAGCGTCAGCAGCATACTTGCAAACATTAAAGTTGTTGGGTTGCTGTAAAGTTGTTCATAATTAGGCAGAGCCATTAGGGTGCAAAGGCACCCTCTTTTTTAACAAATTTAAATGAAAGCTTGCAGGAATGCCCATGCCACCTATAGTGTTACCTTTCACCTCACTCAGTTGCATGAATTACTCAAGTTGGTACATGTTATCACTCAGGGTTCAAAACATTTTTTTTAGAAACTGCCCCAGATTTTAGTCTGTTTGTTTGTTTTAAAAAGTGGGGACATGCAAAATGAGTGCTTCTTCTAACTCTGCTATGGTCACTCACCTGATCACTTTTCACATCACCATCTAGTATTAGCTTTCCTTTTCCTGCCTCTTCCCTAAAGATTCCTTTCAAATCTTCCCTTCAGCACCATTACTGCTTTGCCAGGCTTTATTCAATGAATGTAAGCATCCGTTTACCTTCCATGTTCATGCTGCTCTTCTCATGGCCTCTCAGGGAGCCCCACCTCTCTGGCAGCTGCTTCCCTCTGCACCTGGCTTTGAGAACTCTCCCACTTTCAGTTGCCTCTTTTCCAGGCTCAGTTGGAGGCCAAAATTGCTTGCTGAGAGAGGCAGCTGGCAGGATGTGGCGCTGGCTAACAGGACAAGCTTAACTTGGGTCCTTGTGGTTCCCCACAAATAGGTATGAAAACATAGGCCTGTCTTTGCCAAGTACTCTTGGCATGTTTGCTGTGAAGGTGGGGAGAGTGACAGCCTGGAAAGATATTAGGAAGCAAAATATGACATGGTGTAAACTGAAGGAACAGCAAAATGATCATCTTCTACAGAATTAGAAAACCCACCAGCATGTCAGTTCTGTTCATTGACAGTGACATAAGAGAGACCTGAATCTAATGCGGTTCAAAAGCACATAGACAAGTACAAAATTCATGGAGACTTTCTGAGGAATGGTAAGTGAGACTTTTCAGGAATGTTCTGTTTGCAAAGGAATAAAGCTCAAAAGTCTATGCGAACTTCAAATAGGCACTCAGCAGTCAATAATGTTATAAAGGAGAAATTATCTGATAGAACTTTTGGTAGCATCTTCAATATGATGACCTAAACTTAAGTAACATAATCTTTGGAATCTTTTTGACAAGCTTGTGTTCTGGTTCATACATTTAGCCAGGGTTGATGCTGGAGAACAGTAATTTATAAAGTAATTTATAAATGCCACGTATTATGAGCAGGCCTTTGACATGTGTACATAGTCATGCAGAGGCTCAATTAACCCCCCCCCCCCCCCCATTTTTAAAGCATGTCATTATCAAAAAGCCACGGTCATGTATAATATATGTGCAGAATGTCTTGTTCTCACTAAAGCAAAAGCACCAAATCTTTTCATGCTTCAGTTGTTAGTGGGAGTGAGGTCACACCTGCAAGCAAATACACACAACTGTCATCACACATTAACCCCCAAACATCAATGCACACAATCTTACCCTGGTCATTCCACAGATATATAAACCCATTTTTCCTACTTCCAACAGACCTCACTACCTCTGAGGATGCTTGCCATAGATGCAGGCGAAACGTCAGGAGAAAAATTGCCTCCAGAACATGGCCATATAGCCCGGAAAAACC